TATTAGTCTGATTCAGTTATCAGGGTAATGCTGTCTCAGAATGAGTCTGGATGCATTTTTTTTCCCTTCAATATTTTGGAATAGTTTGAAAATGATAGGTATTAACTGTTAAACTGTTTGATAGAATTCACCTGTGAAGCCACCTAGCCCTGGATTTTTGGTTTTGGGTAGTTTTGCTACTGATTCAGTCTCATTATTAGTAATCAGTCTGTTGAGATTTTTTTATTCTTGATTTAGTCTCAGAAGATGGTATGTTTCTTGGAATTTATTTCTTTTAGGTTGTACAATGTTTTGGTGTATAATTGTAGTGGTTTCTTATAATCCTTTTTTTTCTAGGATTGGATTGTAACTTCATTTTCACTTCTGATTTTAGTTGGGCTCTTTTTTCTTGATGAGTGTGGCTAAAAGTTAATCATTTTTTTCTTTTCAAATAATCATCTCTTAGTTCCACTTATTTTTTTATTTTTTGGTCTCATTTATTTCTGATCTGACTTATATTTTCTACTGTCTTTAGCCTTCCTTGTTCTTTCTTCTAGTTCTTTTAGGCATAAGGTTAGAATGGTTGAGGTTTTTCTTGTTTCTTGGTGGGCATGCGATGTTATAAACTTCCCTCTTAGAACTGCTTTTGCTGCATCCTTCCTGTAGATTTTGGAACATTGTGTTTTCATTTCATTTGTCTCAAGGTATTTTTTTAAATTTTGTCTTTGACTTCTTCATTGACTCATTGGTTGTTTAAAGGTATGTTGTTTGAGCTCCACGTGTCTGTATTTTTTCCAGGTTTCTTCTTATAATTGCTATCTAGTTTCATACCATTGTGGTCAGAAAAGATGCTTCATATAATTCCAATAAGTTTAAATATATTGTGACTTGTTTTGTGACCTAACATGTTCCATGTTCACTTGAGAAAAATGTATTCTGCTATTTTTGGGTGGACTATTCTGTATATATCTACTAAGTCCACCTGGTATGGTATAATGTGTTAAGGCCAATATTACCTTATTAATTTTCTGTCTGGGTGATCTATCTACTAATTTAAGTGGGGTATTCATATCCCCATTATAATATTACTGTCAATTCCTCCTTTTGTGTCTTCTAATATTTGCATTATGTATTTATGTGCTATGTTGGGTATGTAGATATTTACAAGTGTTATATGTTCTTGTTGGAGTGATCACTGTAACATTTTGTTACACCCTTCCTTGTCTCAGCCTTTGTTTTAACATCTATTTTGTATGAAATATCTTTCGTCATTCCTTCATTTTTAGTCTGTGTCTTCAGATACGAAGTGAGTCTCTTGCAGGCAACATAGAGATGGACGTTGTTTTTTAATCTATTCAGCTACCTTATATCTTTTGATTGGAACATTTAGTTCATTTACATTTAATGTAATTGTTGAACAGTATGTACTTACTGCCATTTTTTTTTCTATTTGTCATTCTTGTCTGTTCTTTTGTTCTATTTCTTTCTTGTGATTTGATAACTTTTTGGTGTTATGCTTGGATTCCTTTCTATTTTTTGTGTATCTACTATAGGATTGTGTCTTGTGGTTACCATGAGTTTCTTATATAATATCCTATGTATATAGAAGTCTGTATTAGTTGATTCTAAAAGCACATTTGTACTACTCCACCTTCACATTTGTGTTTTTGACATCTTACATCTCTTTGTGTATCCCTTAGCTTATCATTATAGATGTAATAGATTTTACTACTTTTCTGTTTTCACTTTCATACTAGCTCTGTAAGTGATTGATTTAGTACCTCTACTATGTTTGCCTTTATCAGTGAGATTTTTTTCTTTCATGTATTTCCTTATTCTTAGTTATGGCCTTTTCTGCTTAATGAAGTCCCTTTCATATTTCCTGTAAGGCTGATTGAGCAGTGATGAGCTCCTTTAGGTTTTGCTTGTCTGGAAAACAATCTTTTCTTCAATTGTGAATAATAACCTTACTGGGTAATCTTGGTTTTAAGTTTTTTCTTTGGTACCTTGAATGTATCATGCCACTCTCTTCTGACCTGCAAAGTTTCTGCTGCAAAGTCAGTTTATAATGTAGTGGTGGTGGTAGTTTATGTGTGTGTGGGGGGGATTTCTTTTATTCACAACTTACTGCCTGCCTCTTACTTTTAAATTCTCTATTTTTAAAATTTTGGGGTGTTAATTATACTGTGTCCTTGTGTGAATCTCTGTGTTCATCTTATTTGAGATTCTCTGTTCTTCCTGGATCTTGATGTCTATTTCCTTCCAGGGTTAGGAAGTTTCATCCTTTTTCTGTCCTCTTCTGGCACCTGTATAATGCAATCATTGGTACACTCGATATTGTCTTAAAGTATCCTGAATTTTTGAAGATCTTTTTTCTTTTCCTGTTCAGTTTGGGTCATTTACAGCACCCTGTCTTCCAGATTGCTAATTCATTCTCCTGTATCACCTCACTGGCTGTTTATTCCTCCTACTTTTCTTTTTTTCCCATTTCTTTTATTGTATTTCTTGGCTCTGGTATTTTCTATTACTTTGTTGAAATTCTTATGGTATTCATCCATTCTTCTCCCAGTTCAGTAAGCATCTTTACGACCACTGCTTTGAACCCTTTTTGTATAGGTTGCTTATCTCTATTCCATTCAGTTCTTTATCAGAGGATTTGATTTATTCTTCCACTTGGAACACAGTCTTATGTCTCCTCATCTTCCCTGACTCTGTGTTTGTGTCTATACATTAGGTAGCTCTGTTACATCTCTCAGGATTGACAGAGCGGCCTTATGTAGCAGATGTCTCATGGCTTCAAGGAGTGCAATCTCCCCTGGCCACAGAAATCAGATGTTCCAGCAGTGTCTCTTATGGGGGTTGTGTGCACCCATTTGTTGTTATGGGGGCTCCAAGTGCTGTGGGCATGCTGGTGTATGGGCTTGGCCCTGCCTAAGCTGCTTCATTAATTTTGCCAACATTTCTGGAAAATAAATTGAGATTATCAGCTCTACTGATTTACTAAAGAAAAGTGCCCTAAGAACAAAGACATCAGAAAGCATGTATAATCTTTCTGTAAAACCTTATGAGAAAACACAAATTTTTAAATAAATGCAGGCAATTGCTATGTACTTTTTGAGGATTAAAGATTTATGCAATATTTGATATCAGCTATTAACAACCAATATGAGGACTGGGATTTTTAATAACCTGGCTCAGGACATTTATTATAGTGGGTTTAGGGATATAGATTAATTTTTAAACTTTCAAGCCTAACACAAAAACAAAGAAAAATTAGAGAAAGTGACTGACCATCCACACCATATGAAAACTTGCAGTAAAATGAAGATAGGAGCTGACATCGTGGTACAGGCACGACTCGTTGTGCATATAAGTTGATCCTATTAATAACGGGCAAAGTAGCAAGTACAGGAAAAGGAAAGAAAACACAGAAAAGAAGACATACAAGATGAGATTTCATGCATTTGCTGGCAGTTAGCAGTTTATGTGAGCCTCTGTCCAGAGCAGATTAACAGTGACCATTGCAAATAAGCATCACCAAAATATTCCACTGCTAAAGAAACACAAGACATTATTAGCACATTAAGCTACTGAGCAAGAGTTGTACTTTCACACACAATCTACTGTGTAATTTATGGGAACTTGAAATTTTAGTCTTAGTTAAATCTTTTCAATGCCTTGATTGAAGTATAGTGTCTGCTATGGTGAAAATATTTGGGGTAATAAAGTTCATATAAGTGAATTTAAATCAGTCAGTGATGACAAATAGTTGATGAGTTCATGAGTGTGAGTACCCTTGGGCCCACAAACATGTTCTTTGTAGAATGATGGGACATGGGCAAAGCTAATAAGCTCCTGAAGGTACAGTAGATAGAACAATGGAAGTCCTCATCTTGGTGTTTTATTTATGCCTATATGAGTCAAATTGGAAAGACCAATCAGCTGTAACTGAATCACTTTTTCCATCAAAGAGGGATGATCAGTAGTTCTCACACAGATAAATGGGATTTACTGGCTAAACCATCTTGCTTTTTTAGCTTTATCTCCCATCAATGATTTTACTGTTACTTCTAATTTGTATTTTCTAACTGCGTAATACTTAATGGAAATGCCTTATTTTGAGGACAAAAGTGGTTATGTATATTTGAGTAAATAAGTACATTGTAGTTAATTCTATTATAAATACCTCTATTCATGCACATTGATCAAATGATATGTTTTTAGAATAAACCAGTCACAGATAATGTTCTATGTTTGTATGCTCAGTGTTATGTGCAAGCTATTTAATGAAAAGGTATGCCTTGAAGAATCAATATTAAATTTGAAATTCGTTCTTAAAGAGTGGGAAGAAAATTCTGTGTGGACTTTTGTCTGACAATAATGTTTCTTAATTAAACGCTATTCTGACTTGGCATTTATGTAATCAACTTTACGCTTTTAAATTATTTTATTAGAGGAAGACAGCTGACCTATAGGAACAGTTGTAGTCATTGTTAAATAACATGCGTTAAATATGTTTTGTACAATTTTATCAACTTAACTGTGTGTAACTGACCTGGTCTAATTTTAAATAATATAAAAATTAACAAATAATTCAAATTTAATACGTGATAGAATCAGAAACCATAAAGCAGAACTATAAAATAATAGGACAATGGTGTTTAATAGGTTTTTAAATACACTAAATGAAGATTAAACACAAACTAACAAAAATAACTTTTGTATCTTCAGGATTGGAATATAAAAGCAAGTCTTTAAAATCATCAGATTTGTGACCTTAGATTGGAATTGTGTTTGAAAGTACAATTTCTGTGGGAAGGACAGAAGAAGCAACTGGTAAGCTTATGCTAACCATGAAAAATACTGAAATGAAAAACCTATCTACCAGCATGTACATCATGTTAATGAGAAACAACATGGTTACAACATGTTTAAGGTAAAACTGCAATCTGTCTCCTTATACTTTTGTGGACAATGACCACTGAGTTATAGTATTTTAATACAGTAAACTTTGGTCTTACCAAGACATTGTTATCAAAGCAGACATCAGGCCCTTTTCGGTATCTGGGTTGCTTAACCATATCACAAGGATCTGGACCATCAGCTAGAGAAACTTGTTAAGGAATATGAAGTCACTTTTTGTTCCCCACACAATTAAAATAATAAAATGCAATATATTTTCTCAAAGCAAGTAAGAGATACCTATGCCAATACTCTAATCCAACACAACCAGTTCAAATACTAGGGAATTCAAGGAAGTAAACTCCCACAGATTTTCTTTTGTCAGACGAGGGGCTCTGTGAAGATATCAACCCTTCACTTTTCTGCATATAACATGGCCCCTGGTACATAAAAAGCACTCAATATTTGTAGAATATAAGTGGACAAAATGCACAAATGATGCAGGGTATAAGATAGGTGGCATGCATGTAAAACAGTACAAGGGAAGACCTGGGTGCATCCTATTTAGCAAGACAAAAATAGAAACTAATTTCTAATAATAAGTATCAATTCCAAACATAGGTAATGACTATTTTTTTCTGCAATGGCATGAGTAAATATAACAATTACAGGCACTCTAAAAACCCTGTGCCTACAAAGCTTATTATTAATAGCATCATATTGTTGTTTAGCACATTTACCACCAGAAGTAGTTTCAGGGTTACTGCCATTGCAGGTATAGCATGGTAGGACTTTCTTTTTGAAGTTGAGTAATATGCAATGGTAGGTCTATACCACATTCAACTCCATTTGCTATGACTGTTGACAGCTTTCAAGCCACAACACTCCCTTTTTCCCTCTGTCCTGCACCTGGGGAGGCTTGAGTGCCCTTGCCCTTGGCACTGCCTGTAAGTTTGTGCCACAGAGAAAGAATACAGGCACAAAGCCAGCACCACTGACCAACCACCATAAAACCTCAAGCCAGTTGCTCTTCCTGCTCTCTCTCAAGCTATTGTCAGATCTACTCTCTCTCCACAAAGCCTCAATATGCAAGTAGGGGACCATTCACATTCTTTTGGTGCATGTATAGCAGCATCAGCCTTGACATCCAAACTGAATTTTGCATGAGGAGGTCCATTCTGCCTCTGTGAGGTGATCAGAGCCCTCTAATATTTTTCTCTGTATGCGTATAACAACATGACAAAGTCAAAAGTGCATTACTGTAGATGGCTTTCCATTCCAAACATCTCTGATGTCAAAGGATACAAGTCTGCTCTGCTTGTATGAGCAGTCGTGTGTCACAGGGACAAGTCCCTTTGCTCTCAACCATTATGAATATTAAGTTGGTGTTCATAAGTTTTTCTACATGAAAGATCCTGCAAAATAAATATATTTATTTTTAAAAATCACGGAAATGAACATTACCTTTTGGGAAAGAAGTAAAAATCAAGGATTCTTACAAGTCAAACTGAAAGATGAAACACAAAGTGCCATCAACACAAACAGTGAAACAGAATAAGAATGATTTTAGAAGAGAAAGATTACTATTTTATTTATTAGCATGCATGTACTGCCTCTCAAATGAATACCAAAAAACTGCAACAGATGTTTTTAGTGTGATCTTTAGGTGTTGGTCCTCAGTGCAAAAATAAGCACTATTTAGTTGTTGAAACTCATAGAAAAAATATTTTACAGACAATAAAACTAGGAATACAAAAGTGACTAAACATCTTGGCTAAGCAAATGACAGAGCTAAGTCTAGATTGTTGTTCAAAAATTTTCTGTGAAGATGGAAATGTTTTCTTTGTCCAATATGGTAAACAATAGCTACATGAGGATATTGAGCATCTGAAATGTGACTAGTGTGACAGACTTTTAATATTAGTTAATTGTAATTGACACCTGAACTAGTCACCCCTGGCTGGTAACCACTGAACTGGATAACACAGATATAAAGAGAATCAAGGGATCTAAATTGCCTGCACTGTTTTTTCCACAGCTTAAGCTGCTTCCTCTTTCATCAGTAACCAAGATAAAAATGTGAATCTGTCACTGAAGAGTAATTTATGATAATTTAGCCAATTTTTTACTGGACATCAGCTAACGAAAGGCCAATGGACCCTGAAACTCTTTCTGATGTAGCCACAGAATGTGCTATAGTTGTTTCCTGCAGTTGATAGCCCGACATACTTATCTCTAAACAAGACGGTGCTTTTTTCTGAGTTTCTGTCACACTCTATTCCTTTCCTCTCTTCACATGCTCTGTCTCCTAGGTCACAGAGGCTTGCTAAAGTCATAAAATCACACTGACCATGTCTATTAAAAATTTTGTTTCAGTTAACCCCTTCCTGAAAATAATTTTTTTAACTGTTATAAATTCATTTTCTGAATCCCCTAGCAACTGTCTCTCACAGGCCTTTCACTTGCTCATATTACCTCACTTCCTCATATTTCTTCATTCATAGGCTAAGGTTTCTTCTAGAATAACCTGCCCTCACTTGCTAAAAACAAAGTGGCCCAACTCCACGCCTGGCAAGCCGTACCTTTTGCTGTGTTCTCAGGGATCCTGTGAGGCAGATTATCACTTTCCTCTCAAAACTCCACCATCTTGCCCTTCTCTTTCATCCCATTACAACTGCATTAAACTCTACAACTCTTCCAAAAATTCTTCAGGATGTTTTATGGATTCTGATGACTACCATTAACCTTAACTTTAGGAAAGGTTATTTTCTCCTAGTTCTTTCAGTTTCAAATCAAAGACATATTCAATGCTAAATTTCAGTGATAACTAGGGGTAACCCCTACCCTCAGAATATCTTTTATGTCAAAAAGAAATTGTATTTGTCTTAGAATCACTTAGAATTAATATGATCCTGCAACTTTACATCAGACAACTTTAATATGGGCTTAGACAAAATAATACATTAAAATAAAATTTCTCTTTACCTAAAAGTGGGTACAATTTATTGATCATATATCTATATATATAGATACAGATATAGATAGATATACACACACACATATGTAACTATTGTTGAAGGGATTACAACTTATCAAAGTTAGAATTCTAAAAATTGTAAATTTTAAAACACAGAGAAAGATCTCTGGTGTTTTCAATTTAAAATAGTAACTCACACCTCTCAGAATAATCAAATGTTAATCTCCATTGTTTTCTGTAATGATTATAAAACTGGATACAATTTCTTAGTGAAACAGGACTAGTCTTGAAATGAAGAAATGAATTACCTGGAACAGTTTCCACAGTCTAGTACCCCACTGAATGATTTACTATCGTTATCGAAGAAATACTGGGTTTGTTCAGTAATGCAACTCTGTTTTGACAGAGAGGCCGTAAAATCATCATCTTCCATCTCAACTGTGGGGAAAACAAAGACCACCTTCATGAGGGGACACTACAGTCAGTCCCCCAGAGCCTTCATTTCTCATAGAGCAAAACAAATGCATAAGGGCAAAACAAATGACTGACTTGTTTATTGCTGTGATATCATATGGGCCTCTAATAGGTACACAATAAATATCAATAGAATAAATTAATACAAATACGTAAGAGCTACAAAATAGAGTCCAGTGTGACCTAGGAAAGTTTCAAAAGCAGCAAATGGACACACATGTTCTGAGTTTATTGAACTTAACACATCCAAAAAGAAAATTTTAATTGCTATTCTGACAATATCTGAGCATTTACATACCTGCCTCAAGAAGTCGTGGAAAGGTCAAACTCAAGAGAAACTGCTGTAGAATAGACCTGAATTTTAAATATGAATAATTATTGATAAAAATCAAGATATTTTCCTCTATGAATTATATAATAAAAACCTGAGTAATTTTGCATGTACATAATTCTTTCCCATCTGTTAAGGAGCATTTTTCTATAAGTATTTCTTAAATTACACAAAAGACTATAACTTCTTTATGTAAGAGAAGTCAGATGTGTTCAGAACCAAGTGAAGGACACATATGTGTGAAAAGGCCTAATAAAAAATGAGATTGTGGAGAAGTGGTAACTCTAAGAAGTAGAATGTCAGTATTACAATGCATACGTTTTTCACCTTATTTTAGCTTTTAAAATTCTGTGGTGGGGGAAAAACAAACCTGAAAAACCAAACAAAAATGAGTTTGTCTTTGCCACAGGTTTGTGGACTATTTAGTACAGTATAGAATATGTTTGTAAGTATATAACTTGACAGTTATGAAATGAAATACACATATTATATCTAAGGCATATAGCACATTTCACTTTTATAATAAGTGACAACTGAGTCAATTGTCTATATAGTAGAATAGAATCATCTGGAACTGAATTTAGGAAAGATAAAGGGCAGAAGCGGGCACTAAAGAGGAGGAGGGATATTCTGTCCAGAAAACAGCATAAAGTATTTCAGCAACACTGTGAGGTTTAGAAAACCCACGTAAGTTAACATATAAATAAATATCACTGTCAGAACAGAAAGCACCATTTCTCACACTTTTTTTTTTCAGAAAAAATAGAATTTGTAAATGAAAATCTTTGCTACATTAATAAAATGGCACGACTTTAATTCTAGCCAGGGAAGCTTCAACATCAAATGAATGTTACAGATTAATCCTGGAATGAAGCTTAGACAATACAGTAATGATACAAAAGAAAGACAGGTAGAAAGGCAAGGAGGGAGAGAGAATGGATCCCAGACAAAAAGGGTTAGTTTCATGATTAACCAGAACTGAACAATGACAAATTTGATCTTCCAGACTCTGCAGCGTGCCTCCATGAACAGTTATTTCATCAGTGGTGGGGGAATAGGTGAGGGGTGAAGGAAGTGGGGAGGGTGGAATCGGTGACGACAAAGAAGTAGATACATTTCAGCAACATGATGCCTCTAAGACTGTGTCAGCCATTGCATGGACAGTACAGAGAAAAAAGTCATCATGTCATGAACTTGATTGATGAAGTCAACTAATTTGGATCCTGAAGGTGATAAATAGGAACTTTTTATAGATAAATATACCTAAAATTTAAGGAATTTAATATAAAGAAAAAAATAAAATGCAAAGAGTTTCAACAGATCCATAAAAAAAGAAGCCTCAGAAGAGACAGGTTTACATGAACATAACATTGTTTTCAAATGAAAAACTGAAAACTGCAATAATTGTGCAGTGACCATATTAAAAAAATCATAAATATCACCAATATGTGCTATGGGAAATGAAAAAGAGCAGTCCCTTAATAATTATGTACATGTTACAAAATCTGTATTTTCACCAAATTCTTCACTGTTTCAAACCACCTGTCTCTCATTAGCAATAAAACTGCAATTTTGACTTACCAGGCCGCAGCAGTGGCCCACCAGCCAATGTGTAATATGTCTGCTATTGACGGCTATAAAATAGAACAACAAAGTCATTCCACCAATCTGTCCTGTGTCCCTCTGAGAGGAGCAGACGAGTTAGGGATTACTGACCACGAATGCTGAGCGAAGACCTGCTCCTTGCTTTGGTGCAGCTCCAGGCTCACACACTGACTGATAATCGTAAGATTTATTAAAAGCATAAACCGATATATTAACCAGGTGTCTCATCAAACTTGGATCAATCTCTCCAAAAAATCTTCCAATCTGGTACAGAAAAAAATGAATAAAGCTTCAAATTAGAGCCAAATATTAACACCTAAACCATTAAAATTAAAAGAAATAATACAAAGAAAATGTGAACAAAAACTATTTAGGAGCTTAGAAACAAAAGCAAGTAATAAGCCTGTGTCAGACACTCCGAAACAGCTCAAGTGAGATGACGTGTTCTCATTATTCAGTGGTTCTGTGTGATACTCAACAGAAGGAACAGAGAGTTTACTAAGCATAAAGGTCACAATCAAATGCCTCCTAGGGAAGAGACAAGTAGCATAAATGAGAGAAATGGGTAAGACTACAAAAAGAAAAGGACCTTGTAGAGACTGTGATGAACTGGAATGAGTCCCACCTAAAGAGGCAACCTCCAGACTAATCAACTCCAGCTCATAAATATTGTCAGTTAGGAAAAGGCAGTGTTGAGAGAGAGTTTTGTTTCTTATTTTTTAGATATGTCGATGTCAGAAATGTAGATTCAGAAATGAAATTAGTTGGCAACTAATTGTACTTTGCTTAATATCCTTTGTAAGCCAAACAGCCTATGTACTACCAATTTGTAAATCTGGGACTAGAAACTTTGTCAGTTTGAAACCAGGCATCTATTAAGTTAGATATTATCAACTAATAAACACTTAAGATGTGAAAATTTTCTAAATTTTGGAGAGATCAAAAATAGAAAGTCTGTATCATTTTAAAATCCTTAACTATACAGTTTTTTTAAATTAAGGTATCACTGATAGACAATCTTATGAAGGTTTCACATGAGCAACATTGCAGTTTCAACATTCACCCATATTCTCAAGTCCCCCTCCCGTCCCATTACAGTCACTGTCCATCAGTGTAGTGAGATGCTTGCTATAGAGTCATTACCTCTCTTCTCCGTGCTGTACTGCCTTCCCCCATGACCTACCTGTATTGTGAGCGCTGATCCCCTTCTCCCTCCCTCCCAACCCCTTCCCTTTGATGACTGCTACTTAACTATACATTTTAATGGCTGTTAGTACCAGAAAGAAACTCAACTCACAGACATTGGAAAAAATAGGTTAAGGGTGCATTTTTTTAATGATTTATATTATATTTAGCACTTTAAAATTTATTTTAAGACAGAGCAAATAATCAATTTCTGTAATGGTTTGAAGGAATTTTATAATGTTGATCAGGGAAACAAACTTCGGAAACTAGTTCTCTCTCACTTTAAGTACATACCTGATTAGTATAATCATCATGATTTGCCATTAAAAGAAATCCACCATCATCTAGAATTACACAATCCATTACCTATCCAAATAAAAACAACAGTTAACACATTTTTAGGAAGGTGAGAAGGCTGCATTATCATTACAGTTGGATGATCGTAGCAACAAAAATAGAAAAATTCAAATGTCTATTATCTTCCCTTGAAATTCGCTCAAGAAATTCTGATTAAATAAACTGACAGAATGCATAGATTCATATCAAATGCTTCATATTCTACCACCACCTATCCAGTTAAAGTTGTCAACTCAGTGGGAACAAATCATAGGAACAAATCAAAAACAATCTTTTGCCATTCCAAGGTCATCTAAATGACCAAAGATACTGGGCAGATCAAAATATTTAGTAATGTATAGTAACCTTATTATTTTAAACACACAGTTAAGATTTTGACCAGATCTTTTTAAAAATGCATTTTAGTCACCATACTTCACAGATTTAAAAAAAGGCAGCAGCCTGAGGACATTTATGACTATTTTGTATGAAAAAGTAGTTGGATAATTTCAGATTTAAAAGCACAAAAGGAAAAAAAATGCCCATGACAGAAAAAAAATCATTCATCCTGAAATAAATTCCCACCCAATTTAATTTAAATCATGTTTAAATGCATGAATCAATTTAATAATATTTAATATACAAAATCACAATTTAAAACATTTGTTTTTAGAGCTGGGGACACATGCATTCTATTTCCCTAATGCGGAAACAGCTTGCTAAAAAATAAAACTTTTGCTCTAAAAACAGCCTTCATAGTCTCTTTATATTGTCTATGTACAAGGGATAATCTACAAAAAAAATAATTAAAGTTACTGGCGTATAATTTTATACAACTAGAAGTGAATAGATGGCATGAACTCACTGTTTTCCTGGGAAATACAAACACACACACACACAAGAAGACTAGAAGAAAACAGTGGAATTCATCCTCTCATTCACTTGAATTTATCTAATATCTTCAACTTTTGAACAAAGAAGTTCACATTTGCTTTTTCAACTTCTTAAAGAAACATGGGAGTATTGGAGGACAATGTAAAGTCCAAACTTTATAATGAATTACACAATTCCAAGGTTTAGTTAAAAAAATGTTCTCATTGCTGTGAATACAGTGAACAAATTCAGACAAAGTACAAAACATGGAAGATTGCACTGATAACCAATAATGACACATTGCTTAAAACTTCCCATCCAGGAACAGAGCTAAAGATAAATACGTACAAAAGAATCCAACACAATTGAGATAGAAGAGAATACAGTCCATACTGACATGCTTTTTTTATATGTTCCCATTATATATAAATATTTTTAAAAATAAACATTTAAAAGTAGGAATTTAAAGCATATAATTCAAATTCTTATCTATGAATTAGTTCACAGTTACAAAGAAGATTTTCTCTTTTAGCATTTCATTAAAAAAAGGATGCAGTGATTTTTTTAAAGCATTAAATTCTAAGCAGGAGTAGCACAAGAAAAAATTAAAGTTAAAAATTTTTGAGTTTTCTTACATCACTGTTTCTTTTGCAGTCACACACTGGACCAGCACACTGAAAGACAGAAATACAATCATCACTTCACATTTTAAAAAGCACTGAATCTTAATTATAGCATAGTATTACCACATTACAATTGAATTCTTTATCTCCTATAAAAGATCAAATGATAATCTAGTCTTCAATTAAAAAAGGCAATAGTCTTATGTTTAAAATTAGAAAATATCAGTCAATAGATATCTAAAATAGCATTTCACATTATAACATTGAAATATTTTTCTTTTGGTTATTAATTGACTAATGTAGACAAAAAAATTCTCTGGAAAAATAGAACTCAATAATTCTGCTTAAATGTAATGGCATTGAAAATTTATTTTGCCACTGTATAAAACTTTACTTTTACTTTTTATTTACATTTGAGAAAACTAAGTGCAGCATACAAATTTAAAAAAAAAACCTTACCGGATCCCTGATTGATGTTTTGGTGAAATTCTCTATCCAGGAATTTACATCAATTTTAATTCCAACAACTGAAAAGTTACGTAAAGAAACATTGACAAATTTAAAAAAATGTAGCTATGATTCTCACTAATCTATCTTTCCTCTCACATTTGAAAATTCCTGAACAGACAAATACAAAAAAAAAATTTAATTTCAGCTCTTCAAAATAGCTGAGAATATATTCTGAGTAGTTCAGAATATATATTCTGAGTAGTTCAGAATATATACACTGAGATGCATTTCTTGGGGTTTTCATTAAGAAGTAATGCTAACAGCTCTTAAATGATTATATGAACTTAATTTGTATTCACAACACAGTTTATTCATATGCTATGACCTGACCAATTAACTAATATAGAAAGTATCAGGAATAGTGTTATAAATATGAAGTCATTCAAGAGGAATATTTTAAGAGGACTCCCTAACCTGACCAATGCTTGCAGTAGGTACTTAAGAAATGTTTGCTGAACTCTGGAAAGACAAGAAGGGGAGTGAATGAGTGACTGAGAAAACAACAGTGAATGAAGGCAGGGGTGAGTGAGTTAGTAAGTGATGGAATGAGTCTATGTGGCAGAAACCCCAAGGGGTAAAACTGCCCTCAGGAGCAGGAAGGCAATCGTCTACCTTCTTAGTCTGGCTGAATATAGGCTCTTTTAAAAATTCAAACAATACTGAATCATACTATGAAAAAAACATTCCAGCCTATTTCTAATTCCCAGTGATGCTCAGTTTTAAAATTTGTTTGTTTTAGCAAAAAGTTGTTTTTCTATTACTTTGTTTTTTTAAAAAATAGATTCCTACCCAATTCTTCTTAACAGATACATAGTACAGATATGTCATAATTTATCTTCTCTCCCAATGATAGAAACTTAACAGCATCTTTAAATTATTACAAATGTTCACATCCTTGGCTGTCTATTCTTTTGTGTATTTTAAAGTACTGTGTAGGATGTTTAGAGAAGGACTGCTAGATCAGTCCTGCATTTGGAATTTTGATATGCAACACTAAATTGACTCCATATATTTTTGTCAACAGGGCATAAACATAAACGCTTACTTGAAAATTTCTCAACTCTATAGCATCAATATTATTTTATCTGCAGATCACAGGTAACTAATTGTATTTAATTTTTTAAGTTTGCATGTTTTTTACTTTATTTTGGCTGAAGCTTTCTGATGGCCTTCCTGATAAGCACTGGCAATTTTTAGTAAAGTATTAGGTCCCATTTAATCTTGGCCATGTGCATGTGCACAATATATATGCTTACCTGCAGGTTTAAGCAGTTTTCCTTGGATATATATTTCTACAGCTTTGCTTACCATAATGCCTGATTCATAAGCACCAGGTCCACTTTCTAAAAATAAAAAGGGAAAACAGACCTATCTCGATAAATCATAGGTAAAGGTGAGTAGCATTTGGCTTAAATACTCTAGCATAGACATGTTATAAAGAGGTGTGTAGACATGTATAAAAGAGGTCCTTTTGCCTCTTCTTCCTCTATACCCCAGAATAACAGGAGTGTCTGTGATCTGATTCACACTAATTGACATCAAGATGTAAATTAATTCAGCTTGGCTGCATCTCCTTTCACGATATAATGGATGGGATGCACACCAAATTTCTGCTTCATGACATCTGCTGTAATAGTGAGGAGGCTACTGAAGTGAAATGGAAAGATTGACCTTAGATTCCCAAAACTGCCCTTGTATTTTAGCAGATATATGTCTCTGGACAAAACTCTGAAATTCTCTAACTTCAGTTTCCCATTTGTAAAAATGAGACTAAATAATCCGTACCCACAGAGAAGCTGAGGGATTAAATTTGAAAGTTTTGGGGAAAGAACCCAATTAAATATTTTAAAAGATGGACTATTACCAAATTTTATAAATACTTAAGAAAAAACTGATTAAACTGGAGTAAACTGGTTACACTTGTAAAAATTCATTAATGACTTGTGAAATGTATTACCTACATGTGTTTTTATGTACTATGTATGTGCATAGATATGCTGTCTCTACATTACTGAAATACTGTTTCCGAGTAGGTTTTTTTTACCTCTTCAACTAAATGTATGCTTCTACAGTACATGCTTAATGACAATTCTGAGCAATTAACTTAAAATATATTATTTTGGGGGAAAGCAGGTAGTAGCAATAAAAAAAAAAAAAAGGAATTGAGCAGACTGATATCCAGAATAATACTTACTGTTAAAGTAGGGAGCAGTGAAAATATAGTTATCATTATCAAGACTCCTTTTATAGAAGCTGTCCTCATATGTTTCTGGGTTTTCCTGCCAATTTTCTCCAGCCCTAAGGAGGAAATGGTTCATCATTTTTATTCTTCAGTCTACCTGATAACCTAGTTCTCCCATGTGGACACCACTGAAATTTACAAATGTGTCTACGTATCAGGTATGTCTACGGAAGCTAGCGGTAATTGATAGTCTAAGTGATGCTCATTACTAAGCAATGTATCAGCAGAAAATTATATTAAGGGTCAGGAAAAGCTGACTCCTAGTTTTACTCTTACCATTTACCAGCCAGGTAACTATGGGGCAGATCATTTAACATTAATAAGCCCAGCCTGTCTACCAAGATCCACTGAAGAGCAGTGAAAACAATTGTGTTTCTGCAAACACCGCCTAAGGGCTACAACCATTATGTTCATTTACCTACTTGTATCTGCAAAGAGAAAAATCCCTTTTAAAATCTCTTAAATTTTGTAATATATATGACAAAATTTTTTTAAAGAAATGGAGTATTTAAGTAATATGTCTAAACAATGACTCCATTATAACCTAATAATGATCGGTTTCTCTGAGTAATGGTTTCCTTATACAGAAATGTACAGCTCCTTAGAGTAGTCTTTTGTAATGTACTGATTTTTACAGATGTTATTTGAACTTACTCTTTGGGATAAACTCTGGTAATCCCACCATCGGTCACAACAAACCGCGTTTTCACTCCCTTGCTAGAACAGAAGACAGAAGGACATTTTTTATTCAACTTACTCTTTGTAAGGTATTAATTTAAGTGTTAGTGATACGAGAAGAAATAAAATGAGTTCCTAAAATAAAGGAAGCCAGAGTAAATACATCAACAGATATAAACGATGTTTTAATAGCTAAAATATCTAATAAGTCATTAAAGGGGGTCATTTAAGGAAGACATCTCATAGGAAATGATACAGCTACATTTGAAGATGGAATGTGAGTTTACAGAGGAAGCAGGAAGACATCACAATATGAGCAAAGAATATGTGTGAAGGAAAGCCAGTGAACAGTGAGAGTATTTGGTGTACAAAAGCACAAGGCACCAGGTGAGAAACAACAGGAAGTGAAGTCTGAAGTACAAGCTTCTGAAGAATGGTCAGCTCATGGACAACCTTTAAATACAGGCTGGAGAGTTTCACCTTTATCCTGAAATTAGAACTGCATTTTAAAAGTAAGACTCTGGCAGGTATACATTGTGTGGAGAATAGACTGAGTGCTGTGGGCAGAGGAACAGAAACATTAAAGGCAGAAACAGCAGATGCTGTAGCTTTTTAGAAATGGGAATTCATGGCCTTGAGTATGAAGAAGAGAGGAAAACACTATTAGAAGAAGTACTTAGTCTTTGGTGATTGACTGGAAATGGGGTGGAGAAGAGACTATAAATGAGAATCATAGTCAGATTTCTCAATTTCTTGACCCCGGTATGAAGTAGTGCCATTAAAAAGCCAACTACACATTCACTAAGAACCCTGTCTACCACAAACACTGAAACACACATAGACATGCCTATTTAATTTGGTTTATTCACAGTACAGTGTATATGCATGTAAAGCTGAGAAACGGCAGATATTATTCCTGACATTCACCGACAACTGAAATGCAAGTTGTCAACAATTACAAAATGTTTTTCTTGAGAAATTGTTATCAAAGATAAATAATAAACTTTAAATTTATGAGACCTATATTCCAAGTATTTCCTGGAGAGAAACTAAACTGAAATTAATATATTTTTTATTAATAAGAACACATACTTACATGTTTTTCTGCTTACTCCAGTAATTTTGGACAAGTTCATTTGTAAAGCCTGCATCCAGCAAAACTCTATTAATCAAATCCGTGTTACCTAATACAGGAAAAGGATATACTCAATTATAATGCATAGATTTTTAACCAGGGTAATAATGAAACAAATAAATTATCTATTTCCAAAGGAAATTTAGAGAGAATAAGTTCTGTGAATTAAAAATATCCTATATTAACTTTCCGTATGTTTTTATATTGTTCATCTTGCCTGACATTTTTCAGGCTCTAGACAGACCAGTAGTGGAGAAGCCAATTTTAAACAAGGCAAATTATTTTGTAAACTTTATCAAAAACATGTATGAAATATGCCAATCAAGAAACAGTGAGGAAATGAATAGTCCTCCTTTTTGTATGTGTGCATATGTGCAGGTTAGTACGGTGATTCCCAATCATAATTTCATGGATAATTTTATATGTAAATATAAAAATACATGATGTAGTTTCTTGTTTGTTTTGACCAAGGAACGAAATAACTTATTACAGAACAACAACTCTTCCAAGACTGGCTTTTGGAATCTACTTGTATTCCTGGAAAAGTAAAAATGAGCACATTAGCCCCAGTTCAAAGATAGTGGAGAGAATAGCTAACGAGCACCAAGGGTCAATTAATACACATTCTTCATTGAAAAATGATGCCTCTTTCCTTCCCACTGGCTTCTGCACTCACATACCCATGAGGCTCTGAGTAGTCTACTAGTACTTTCTGAAAGTGCACATTTATGATAAATTTAATTTTGTTCAAGTAGGAATGTATGGTCTTATTTAATATCTTATTTCTACAAGAGATGGAGTAGAATAGGCTGGAAAACACTTTAGTTGGTGTCATTGATTTTAATTCAATATATCTTTCATCCAGGATTAAAAGATAAACTTAATTCACATTTTAGACTTTAATTCATTTTAGGAACTTATCTTTTTTACTATATTATTTTAGAAATGAAATCACTTTAAAAAACAGCCCATGTGGAAAGTGAATTAATATAATTTGTCTCAAATCCTTTAAGGTATAAAAAAAAGAGACCATTATTGTAATTTCTAATATAAATCAATATTGCAAGTAATTTCATAATTTTGTTCATATTTTCATTATGTTTTTAAGTTTAAAAGATGTGTCTTGAAATATGTCCCTTGTAGCTGACTACATACAATATATTAAGCAGGTTATCAGTATTAAGCTTTGTTGTTTTATACACAAAATCTCATTTCATAGTAGTTAACAACAAAAGGGAATATGAAGATAACGATCACTCTACAGCATAAACACTTAGGTAGGTTAACAAATATTAGGGGAGAATTATAATTTTACTGATGGCTTTACTTTATATAGCAAGATTAAACTTGACTGCATCCCTTTGAAAAAACTACATAGATTACAACTAGATTCCAATCATTGGTAACTACCTTTCGAGTTGTTTTACATATCATTCTTAATACTGTGAGGTAAAATGTGATTGAGAAAAATCTGTATCTATAATATAACACTGAGGAAAATATGAATTGCTTTCTAGCTATCAGCTCTTTTATAATTAAAAATCTAATAAATTCTCAGTTCTTCACACAGTTACATAATCATGTCCATCACTTCCTATCGGATTACGTATATAACAGGAAGCAGGTAAAAGGTGAAGAGACTGAAGCACACACAACAAAATGGACACTGGTACTATGATACTGAAAGCATTTTGTTTAAACATCCTCATACTTTCCTAGGACCTAGAGGCAACCAATTAAATTCCACATTATTCCAGTTCTCTCTTGGGAATACTCATTACTAATAGGAAATGAACAATCCCATTAAAAAACACTGAAAAGGCTCTTGCTCAGGCAGAGTGAGTTCACAGAGCAGAAAGGCTTGGAACCCCTTAAACTCAGGCAGGATGGATGTGAACTCTAGCTACCCATCACAGCATTTCACAGGAGCTCATTCATGTTAAGAGGTGCAATGAGTTATCTTTTTATGAGGTAAACTTCTATTTGTGAGATGGATTTTTACTTTTCATAACTGAGGAAGAGCTTTGCTTAACTCTTCCTGATAGAAAGGGAAATAATTTTTAAAAAGAAAAGAAGGGGTGGAGCAGAGAACAAAAAAGTCAGCATATATTTTTTTCCCAAATTGTATTTACTAAGGCAATTTTTGCCACGCAGCTGGTTTTCCTCTTTTATTTCCCATTGTCATTACATTTTTTTCATAAGAGTACTTTCACAGGATATTTTAGGAAAAAAAAAACAGTTAAGATTTTTAAATGTTTTAAAAGTCCAGCATCTGTAAATCTCTATGAAGTGTCATAGTATGATTCATGCAAATTTCTCTGAAAGATAAATATAATGTTAAAGACTAATTACTAAGATTTACCTATTCCAAATTGATTTACTTCACAAAATGGGAAATTAAAGAATAATTTTTTTAAAAATATGAAGTTAATTATGATTGAAATGAGTATCAGGAAAAAAACATTAATATAGCATTTTTTTATACCTTTGTTTTTCCTCTATCCATATTAAAACTCATTATATGAAATGCAGGACATAAAAAATAAAAATGTGTTACATGTTTTCCTCTATACAGCAAAAACAAGGCATTGAAAAACCTTCAAAAGATCATTAAGATCAAGCTTTTTAAATTTGAAAGAACAAAGGTAAGCATATCCTATTCGCATTTAAACACTGGCAACATTTCCTGGCTTTGAAAATTTGATTTTACTTAATGAAATGAAATTTTTTTAATATAAAAAAGACTGAATTGTAACATTTTACCATTAAAAATTCATAAATTAAATAAACCAACATACCAACAAACTAATCTGAACCAAGGTAGAACCACCTTGTATATAACACAGTGAGCAATTACTGCCAATTAATGCCTACTTACATGATGGGTTGTTTGGAGTTTTTCTGTCAATAAACTCATTGAAATTTAAAAGAAATTCTGTGTTATTATCTGATATTTTAAGGTCACTGCAGTAATCTCTGAAAAAAAATTTAGGATATTAAGCATTAAAATCAAAACTTCAAAAAAATGTACACAATAAACACAGGAAGTGAAAACACTTTTTTTTTTTTTTTTTACTAGCTAGGAGACTGCAAGCCATTAAACTTGTTCCTCCATTTTCCAAACTCTATAATGGAACAACACTGACAAAAAGTGGTATTATAGATAATAAATATTAAACACTTGACCTCTGGACGGTAGGTGTTCAGTAAATGGTTTGTTATTGTTATTACATTATCATCATTGTGTGTTGTAAATTTGAAGTTTTCATAAAGAAATTGAGAAATTTAAAAATATTTAAACATCAAGAATAAATCCATTATGTTAGCATTTTTATGAAAAATTTGTTTCAAAAAAGATTACAGTGAAAAAAGTGGCACAGATTTACCTATTTGAAAATCTCTTTACTTCCTGACTTATTAGCCTAGTGTACCTCTGTATTCAATCAATGAAATATATTGTTTTGACACACAAAACAATATGTCTTCAGATATACAGTGAAGCAGAATATATATAGACTTTTCAGATTATTTTGGCTATTCTTTTAAAATAACATACCAAAACTTGATTATCTGTTATTTTGTGGTAGTTAGTTATAATATGAATTTTGAAATAGTATCAGTGAACTTTCTGTACTGTTAAGTTAAAATTTAATGTACTAATACTTTGAATGACTCTTTTACCTATCTGTGATTTTGTAACATTTTAAACTGGTTGTTTGGAAAATGTGAGTTACAGAGATCTTCCAAATGATGATACACTCCATTATGCAATATTGAAAATTCACATTCATTAATATCATCAGTGATCTCACCAGATAAGTTTCTAACTATTGGTAATTTAAGCTCATGGTAATGAATACAGCTTTCCCAAAATTCTAATTTTGTTTGAAGGCTCAGACTTTGTCTTCAGAAACAAATACTCTGAGTTGTTTTCTTCAAAATAAAAGGCTCACTTGATTGATTTTTGAGAAAACATTTGCCTAGTAAAATATTTCATGAAATACACCTATTTCAGCTCTCAACTCAATCTATCAGACAAGCACTTTTCTTTGAGACAGCCAAATGACTCTGCTATATAGTAGAACTTCTATTTCATCCAAAGAATATTAAAAGACAAACTCAAGGGTAAAGCCTCAATGAAATTATGTCAGTGCCCTTTAGGGTCAGCTCATCAATGCTTTTGTGTGGTTGCCGCAAATGTCAATACGAAGAAAAAGATAACTCTTAACATTGTTAGGAAAACAGTTTTGACTTTGTGGATTCTCTGAATGGACCTCTGGAACCTAAAGTGTGTGAGAAACATTCTTTGAGGACTGCTGTCCTAAGTGTTTTGGAAATTCAGAATAAATAAAAGGCAACATAAATGTAAGACTGCAATTATAATAACTAGTTAATGCAACCAACAGATTGGAGAATCAAATATTCAAGACAAAAATGCAATTAATAGTTAATATTTTCAGATGCATTGCCACCATTACCTAAGGTAGTTCCAAAACCTCAGTTAGTAGACAGGAACCGAATGTCAGAACTTCAAAAAACATAAGAACAAAATTTCTTGGCTCAAGGATAATTTCAGTTTCAAAGCAAGGTCTAGAAAGGTTACATGATTTGTACTCGTTTCATTATTGACAGAGCTAAAACTGACTTCTTTCCACATTAGCATTTAACTATATGTAATTATAAAATCACATGTTATTTCTTTCTCATTCTAATTCATCTCCTTTGAAGGTCCTTTCTCATTTCTGACTATCCAAGAAAGCAAAACTCATCCAGATTCCAGATTCTCATCTCTATGACTATATGCCTCTTAAAGGCAGGAACAATGCATCTCCATTTTACTCAGATGTACTAGGTGCTATTTGAGATCCATTAACATTTGCATATTCAATGCATATACTTATGTCTTGAAGTAGCAAGGGAATTGGTTCAAACCCTATATTTTTTAACACCTCTAAAACTGTTTCCTAATCTGTGAAATAAGCTAATACTAATTCATTTATAGTTCCTTTGAACAGTACATACAATCCTGCATGTACAGGGCTTAACACATTGCTGCACAAGCTACAGCCTTTCTCCCCTTCCCTGGTACTTGCCCGTTCCCACAGGTAGATGTGTCTTCCAGTCAGGCCACAGAAATGGCATGTCTGCTAACCCCTCCTGAACTAAACAAAGTCCACTGCTTATAAACTGGGAATTGGAGTTGAGAGACGTATTTACCCTCCCTGTGAGTACAGAGACTTTCACCATGTTTCCAATTTGTCTAACAGCGAAGCTCAGAAAGCCAGGCTGCAAGGTCTGTTACTTAGAAATTGGGAAAGAAGAGGGAAGAAGTTGCCCAGAGGAAAAAGCAGGATCTGAGGTGGAGTCTAATCTAATAGGGCTTACTGCAATCTAATTTCAATGTCTGCTTACATTTTTAATGTATGACTATGTTAATGTGTGGACATGCTAACAGTCTGTGAGCCACTGCTCTGTCCTCCATATTTTCCTTTCTTAAAATTGGTTTTAGCAGTTTAAAGTTGCTCAAAGTTACTTGTCTGGAAAAATTGCTAATAAGATTACAGGTATTATTGTTAACAATATGATTTAAAATATATTCTTCTCACTCTCTTCACAGATTCTCCAGCTGACAGATATTTATTCAGCACCTACTATGTAGGAGGATATGGATTTGATGTCAGATACTGAGTGGTAAGTCAAACGGATTCAGTTGAAACTCTGTTAGTGAAAGTAAAAAATTCCTCCATTTTCCAAACTCTATAATGGAACAACACTGACAAAAAGTGGTATTATAGATAATAAATATTAAACACTTGACCTCTGGACGGTAGGTGTTCAGTAAATGGTTTGTTATTGTTATTACATTATCATCATTGTGTGTTGTAAATTTGAAGTTTTCATAAAGAAATTGAGAAATTTAAAAATATTTAAACATCAAGAATAAATCCATTATGTTAGCATTTTTATGAAAAATTTGTTTCAAAAAAGATTACAGTGAAAAAAGTGGCACAGATTTACCTATTTGAAAATCTCTTTACTTCCTGACTTAATAGCCTAGTGTACCTCTGTATTCAATCAATGAAATATATTGTTTTGACACACAAAACAATATGTCTTCAGATATACAGTGAAGCAATATATATATATAGACTTTTCAGATTATTTTGGCTATTCTTTTAAAATAACATACCAAAACTTGATTATCTGTTATTTTGTGGTAGTTAGTTATAATATGAATTTTGAAATAGTATCAGTGAACTTTCTGTACTGTTAAGTTAAAATTTAATGTACTAATACTTTGAATGACTCTTTTACCTATCTGTGATTTTGTAACATTTTAAACTGGTTGTTTGGAAAATGTGAGTTACAGAGATCTTCCAAATGATGATACACTCCATTATGCAATATTGAAAATTCACATTCATTAATATCATCAGTGATCTCACCAGATAAGTTTCTAACTATTGGTAATTTAAGCTCATGGTAATGAATACAGCTTTCCCAAAATTCTAATTTTGTTTGAAGGCTCAGACTTTGTCTTCAGAAACAAATACTCTGAGTTGTTTTCTTCAAAATAAAAGGCTCACTTGATTGATTTTTGAGAAAACATTTGCCTAGTAAAATATTTCATGAAATACACCTATTTCAGCTTTCAACTCAATCTATCAGACAAGCACTTTTCTTTGAGACAGCCAAATGACTCTGCTATATAGTAGAACTTCTATTTCATCCAAAGAATATTAAAAGACAAACTCAAGGGTAAAGCCTCAATGAAATTATGTCAGTGCCCTTTAGGGTCAGCTCATCAATGCTTTTGTGTGGTTGCCGCAAATGTCAATACGAAGAAAAAGACAACTCTTAACATTGTTAGGAAAACAGTTTTGACTTTGTGGATTCTCTGAATGGACCTCTGGAACCTAAAGTGTGTGAGAAACATTCTTTGAGGACTGCTGTCCTAAGTGTTTTGGAAATTCAGAATAAATAAAAGGCAACATAAATGTAAGACTGCAATTATAATAACTAGTTAATGCAACCAACAGATTGGAGAATCAAATATTCAAGACAAAAATGCAATTAATAGTTAATATTTTCAGATGCATTGCCACCATTACCTAAGGTAGTTCCAAAACCTCAGTTAGTAGACAGGAACCGAATGTCAGAACTTCAAAAAACATAAGAACAAAATTTCTTGGCTCAAGGATAATTTCAGTTTCAAAGCAAGGTCTAGAAAGGTTACATGATTTGTACTCGTTTCATTATTGACAGAGCTAAAACTGACTTCTTTCCACATTAGCATTTAACTATATGTAATTATAAAATCACATGTTATTTCTTTCTCATTCTAATTCATCTCCTTTGAAGGTCCTTTCTCATTTCTGACTATCCAAGAAAGCAAAACTCATCCAGATTCCAGATTCTCATCTCTATGACTATATGCCTCTTAAAGGCAGGAACAATGCATCTCCATTTTACTCAGATGTACTAGGTGCTATTTGAGATCCATTAACATTTGCATATTCAATGCATATACTTATGTCTTGAAGTAGCAAGGGAATTGGTTCAAACCCTATATTTTTTAACACCTCTAAAACTGTTTCCTAATCTGTGAAATAAGCTAATACTAATTCATTTATAGTTCCTTTGAACAGTACATACAATCCTGCATGTACAGGGCTTAACACATTGCTGCACAAGTTACAGCCTTTCTCCCCTTCCCTGGTACTTGCCCGTTCCCACAGGTAGATGTGTCTTCCAGTCAGGCCACAGAAATGGCATGTCTGCTAACCCCTCCTGAACTAAACAAAGTCCACTGCTTATAAACTGGGAATTGAAGTTGAGAGACGTATTTACCCTCCCTGTGAGTACAGAGACTTTCACCATGTTTCCAGTTTGTCTAACAGCGAAGCTCAGAAAGCCAGGCTGCAAGGTCTGTTACTTAGAAATTGGGAAAGAGGGAAGAAGTTGCCCAGAGGAAAAAGCAGGATCTGAGGTGGAGTCTAATCTAATAGGGCTTACTGCAATCTAATTTCAATGTCTGCTTACATTTTTAATGTATGACTATGTTAATGTGTGGACATGCTAACAGTCTGTGAGCCACTGCTCTGTCCTCCATATTTTCCTTTCTTAAAATTGGTTTTAGCAGTTTAAAGTTGCTCAAAGTTACTTGTCTGGAAAAATTGCTAATAAGATTACAGGTATTATTGTTAACAATATGATTTAAAATATATTCTTCTCACTCTCTTCATAGATTCTCCAGCTGACAGATATTTATTCAGCACCTACTATGTAGGAGGATATGGATTTGATGTCAGATACTGAGTGGTAAGTCAAACGGATTCAGTTGAAACTCTGTTAGTGAAAGTAAAAACAAATAAAATGTGGGCAGTGCTCTATTAAGGGAATTCTGTAAGGCTCTCAGTGAGGAGTTTAATCCAATGAATATGGGAAAGAAATTCCCAGATCTAGGAGCTCTGAAACTAGGGTTTGGGAATGGGTGGGTTATGCCTGAGACAGTCCCAATTAGAAAAAAAAGATCAGTGGATGAAAAGAGGTAAGGGAGAAAAACACTACAGTTAGGAACTGAAAGAAGTTTAATGTGGCTGGAATTTAGAGCAGAGGTTGGCAAACTTTTTCTTAAAGGGCCAGATGGTGAGTGATTCAGACACTGTGGAGTGTAAGTTTACACTACAACTGCTCAACTCTGTCTTTGCATCAAAAGCAGCCACAGGAAAAACAATAAGTGTGGTTGTATTCCAATAAAACATTACGTACAAAACAGGCAGCCAATCTGTAGGCTATATTTTGTTGGTCCCTGATTTAGAGTATGGGGGAACCACACTGTAAACTGGAACCTCATAACAGAGCACTTGAAAGCTATGATGTACAAGTACAGATCCTATGAGGACAGTACTGAGGCACTGGTTAGTATCTAGCAGAGGAGAAATTCTGGTTATAGAAAGAAGACAGTACTGGGAAGTAAGGGGGATACAGTGGAGGCAGGGAGATCAATCAGCTAGCATGAAAGGCAGTGGCCTATACTGTACAAAGGCAGCAGAGTTTGACAGATATACTTGATAAGACAAATTCTATTTGGCAGGACTTGGTGATTGGTTAGATATAAAGAAAAGGGAGCAAAGACAAGTAACAGGTTTCAAGACAGGGCATTTGAAAAGATGGTATTTTCTCACCAAAGCAACAAGGAAGAATTCTCCAAAAAGGATAAATGTTTAGAAGATACTGAACTTGAAGCACATTTAAGAGATATTCCTTTTAGGTTCATCTAAAGATGAGTATCATCAATCAAATCTGTAGGGTAGACATGAAGTTTGGAAATAGATATACTATCTGATCCTGTATTGTAACATTATCTCAATAAACCACATGTCTATTTTGTTTCCACATGTTGTGGCCATCTTGTAACTCTATCACCCGAAACTGCGGAAAAGAATAAAAGCAGAAGAGAGCTAAGCCAGCACTCTCAGGAAAGTCATCTGCAGAAGAAGGAAGTCCGTGAGAGACTGAATATGCAGCCAGGGAGAGAGGAAGAAAATCAGAATAGTGTGTCATCAAGCAAGAGTAAGCAAAGTATCTAAGGAGATACTTTGATCAGAGTATCAAACACTGAAGGAAATTCGATCAGGAGAAGCTGCTTAAGGCAGAGTCACTCATGAGGCCAAGAATATGGTTTGTTAAAAGAGATTCCTCAAAAAGTTATCTATATTCCCTATTTTCAGAAAGAACCAAAACTCAAATATCCTCAAACAGAAATAAAATGAAAAAGAGCTTCTTTGGGTTCTTAGAATAATTTCTATAAGAAGTATGAAATGTGAAAAATTAATACAAACTTCTTAATCTATTTTCTTTAGTGATTGAGCCTAGATTAATAGGAATTGTTAATTTTAAATCATATATATCTGCTTGAGAGTGGTTATCAAAAATTAATAACTCTCTTGGATTCCTGAATAGAGTTTCAAATAATTACCTGTAACTAGAGGTAAGGATAAAGATGTATATATATTAAGGATACAGAAGGGGAGTTATTTGAGAGAGAAATAACATTGGGTAGGAGAGGAAAGAATGTAAATCTTAAAAATACGTGACAAAATGTTACATTAAAATGTTTCTCTGGAGAGTTGTATTCGTGTATTAAAAAAATAATGAGGTTAAGACACTATAGCTTTGTGTATATATAAACCTACATATATCTGTATATATCTATATATGTATGTGTATATATATATATATATTCATAAATACAATTACATAATTCATTATTGTTGGATGCACTGTTATTTTCAAAAAGAGAAAAGCTTGTATCTTAGTCATCATTATATCCCCAATTCAGCATACTGCTTAGCACAGAGTAGTTGCTCAGTAAGAATATGAATGAGTAAATTAATGAATGAACAATGTACTGTTTGAATTTTAAAGTTATTGTTCCCTTAGGTTCTATAAATTTGGCAGTGGAATTAACCCAGAGCATTCATGCCCCTAGTTCAGAACTGGTACTGAAGGCCAACCCACCCACACAAGCTATAAAAAAAGAAAAGAAAACTAACCTTGGTGCTATGAAGGTATAACCAGATTCTTCAAAATTATCGGGCTTCAGTGTTTCTGAATCTGCAAAGACAATGTTACAGGATTAGATAAGCAATTCAGAATATGTATCCTCAGATTCTATGACTATATGAAAGCATTAGAATGATAACCTAATATGAAAAAATAGGCTACTTATATCCTACATTTAAACATATCAGTGAATCTAAAGATCCTAATACTTCTCAATAATAAAATCCACTTTAATTTTGTAACATGGATTATACCAGTTAATATAACCAAAAATTCATCTTTAATTTTCCCATTAACTCAATCTACCACAACAAAGGTATCTTTTAAAAAGCAATTTATATCAATGTTGTATCAGAGGTATTTTGTTTGAAATGTCAACATAAAAATTTTACCAATAGTATGGTAAAGAAAACAATTTTAATTAATGCATTAATGCCTTTTTAGTGAATTAATAACATTCTTCATGTTAGGTGTGAATTAATAAGTAGAAGGGTAACACACAAGTATTTAAGCCTAAGAAAAAACCTGAATGAGAGACAGGTTGCGTATGAAAACACAAGCATATTCTTTCCCCCTTTTTTGCAGCTAAGGTTGAGGGATCATGGAGGAAAATCTAGCAAATGGGAAGCACAGAGGATAATATCCAATAGGAATGGAAGTATCAGTGAAAATGTCAAGTGTAATAAACAGAAAGAAATTGAGCAACGAGAAAATACTTGCCCTTCATTTTGCCCTTTTTTGCTGTGAAAATCCATCAGAAAGAGAAAGCAGGGAAACAAAAAAAAAGAGGGTAAAGCAAAGGGGGTCACAAACAATATTTTATTCAATGACTTTGAATAAAAATATTGTGTATAGATCAACGATTTATTAATGTACAGCTGTAGTCTGGAAAAAAAGACACACATTTGTGAAGGCTCGAAAGTATGTCCTGTCATTTACTACTAGAGCACCCTCTCCATTCAGTAGTTATTTCAAGGGTCTATTTTGCAGAGTGGTTACTGCAGGTGCAATACCCATGACCATTAGCCTATAAACAGAAGCATTCACTGATCATCAGAGACCCACCAGGCATCCCATTTATCAAGTGATGAACTAGCTCATGCAAAGTTGCTGGTTGTTAAAAGACCATCATATCTATCTCTCCAGTGAAAGTGGAAATACAAATGAGCTCAATGAACTATGAGAACCAGGACTGTGGAGAGCAGAAAAGAACAGACAGAGAAATGAAAGAAATTGTCATTTACTTAAGGTCAGATGTAAAAGGCATATATGTATGTATGTATACACATACATATATATACACACACACAATTTTTTTTTGTTTATTGTAACAGAAAAAATTGAGGCTGTTAGTAATGACTGAATGATGTGCAAAGGATATGATGGTCCTTTTACTCTACAATATCTAGTCACCCAAAACAAAGATTAATAGTGACTTAAAGTATGCACTAGTATTAGTAATTACTCCACATTCCAAATGATGCTTTAAAAAAATAATCCATTTGAGTTACAGAAGACATTAACTGGGATTATGAGAAGCTAACACCAAACCAAAGCAAAAGACCAGTGCAATTTAATTTATTCACAAGAAGTAGAAGATGTGGAGCACAGTATTATTTTTGCCAAGTGCAGAAAGAAAAAAGGAAAAAAAAAAAGAAAGTATTACTAGCACAATGCCATGAGTAGCAACTCTACGAGCCATTCTACACCAGCTAGCCGACCACTGAAATGACAGCCACAGAGGACACAGCCCTGCAATGATTCTGAGCACGAAGCAAGGCGGGGAAGGGTGGTGGGGGCTGCCGGGGAGACTGAGGAGTACCTGCTCATATTCTATCCACGTAGAATATTTCTTGTTCCTTGCATGTTTGGAATGGGTTAGAATCATTGCAGTAGATTTGGTAATAACACCTGATAAAATGTATAAGCCTTGGGTATTCTAAAATCTAGATGAATTTAAACATCTAATACTAGGAGATGACAAATAGACCCTGGAGTCGCTTTCACAGTACTTACATCTGGCCTGAGTTATTGTCTCTTCTATTTTGGCTTTTATATAGTAAAAACTGTAGGTTGGTAATACCAAGGCCAAACTGCAATAGAAACAAGAGAAGCATAAACACAAACAAACAAACTAAAAAAAAAAAAAAGACACATTAGGTTCATGGAAATTCAGAGATCTTCCTCATGGGAAAGAAAAGACATATTTCTATGACAGGAAAATACATTCAGCAAATAGAGTACTTAATCAGATCTTGCCCCTAAGAGTCATCCAGTTCTCTACATTGTAGGGAATCAGAGGAGACACATGAAGATAAGCTACTAAATACACCCATAAATCGGCTGAGAAAGAAATGTCATGGGTCCTGGTATTTCCAGGAAAGTGTATTGAAATACTTTGAGTGTTGAGAAGATAAGAATTCTAGTGTTATGCTGAAACAAAGTAAACCTATAATATCAACTGGACACCCCTCCTTAATGAATTATATATAATGTTCAAGTGCTTTATAGCAAAATGCATGTTGTTTAAAAATTACAAACATAAGTATTATCAGCTTTTCCATTACAAAATGTATAAAATCATCTGAAGTATACTCTTTTGAAAGGTTAAAAACCTATTATTTTAAAACTCAAATCTTCAGACAAATTTCCCAGTGCCTGTTGGTGGGAAAATTCAAATTCCTTGATAACACTAAGAAAGATTGCTTACTCATCCCACTGGTTCTTACCCAATAGTATAAAAGATGACAGAATTTAACATTATGCAGTTTCCAGTAACACCTTCCTGTGCATAATTATTCAATCTCACAATGGCTAGTATGCACATGTAGGACATAACCAATGATTGCATATACACATTTACAGTTGCAAATGGCTTTTGCTGTGCTTTGAATACAGACGGAAACACGAACTAATGGTTTCAAAAAAATGAGAGTATCTCTAAGATTCCCAAGGCAATTATTTTAAAAAATTAATGACTAATGTGACCAATTGTGTCATTCAGCAATTGCTTTTAATATTTGATATAAAATTTATCAGTACACAGGGAAAGGTGCGCATTTCTAAGGTTCTGAGTATCTAGGCATTTGCAGAAGATCTTTTAAATCTCTCAAGCTAAGCTCTGAGGATGGGTGTCCAAACTGTAATCTCATTATATATATAGATATAGATATAAATATATACACACACACACACACACATATATATATAATGGACAATACAGAATAGGATAAAATATAAAATTTTAGGTTTTATTTCTTATGAATATATATATTAAAAATTCACTCTACAAGGAGGAAAAAGGTAAGGGCTTAATTGTTACAACTATGTAGTCAGGACAGCAAAGTGAGTGGATGCTTGTTCCCTCCAATTCCTCATTTCTTTCTTCATCATTAAGTAATTCATAGACTTTCCTTACAGGAAAAGGTCAGAGAAATAAAACATTATGTAGATTTAATGAAAATCTCTCCATTCATTTTATAGGTACCTTCCTTTAAGTAGAGGCAGAGATTAAAATTAAAATAAGCAGTGCAATTAGTTTGAAAGTAAGATGACCTTTCATGATTCACTTGCCATTTATAAAAACGTACAGCAGAATTACTGAGTATTTGAAGATGGTCTCCTACAAATTCCTCTCAGGGGAAATTAGGACATTTTTATTGCCCCATCAGCATTTATTGCTAAGAGAAACTTCTAATTAAAACAATAGTGTTGTATCATGTGGCTGCTACAGTGTCACTCTCTAAGCTTGGCTTACATCTCATGTACCATAAAAATAGTACAGAAACTCATGAGGAACACAAGAGAAGTTTAAAATTGACATATCAAATACATATTGTATTGAAGTTCAAATTTCAGTTTTTTATTAAGAGCTACATGTTTCATTCTACAGAGAAATATCATTATACTTAATTTATTTCTACCTTAAGGAAACAGTTATTTCTTCAATTTATAGCAGGTAAGATCTTTACCAACATTTGTCAGTCATTGATGCTGTCACGTTCAGTGTTTGTGACTGCATATAAAGCCAACAGACCAAGACTGATTTTCTCCCAGGAATTAAAGGCTAATAAAGCCACTCAATTGTTTATCATTATAAAACTCATTAAAATACAGGTTTCTATTAAAGTCCTTAATTACATATTTCAGAATGTGGTACCTAAATTACACCAACGCTTAAGGAGACAATTTACTAAATGAAATTTGGTACCTTGTTCATTAAATCAAGACATGCCATATTTTCCTTTAACTTAGACATAGTGTTTTGTTGTAAATTGTTATTTGGAATTTATTTCCTTGCCTGTCCATATCTCCTCTCTCCCATCACATCTTTTGACAAGCTTATATAAAAATTGAAAGGTGGTAACAATCGAGGCAGAGGAAGGAGAAATGATGACTTATGTATGTACTTAAAGACTATGTATGTGTAGAGATGTCTAAAAGAGATGAAAGAGAAGTCAGAAGATAGAAATAAGTGAATAATTAAAACAGTTGTTCTCGTGGTCAGCATATGAATTCAATGAATTCAACAGTATGTCAAAACTGAACAAGCAGAGACATTAATTGCTGTGTTCTTCTCTCTGTATTCTGCATGCCCTCATAGGAGAACAAAAGGAAAGAGTTTCCTATGATACCAACATTGCAGACTTAGAGAAATCCCCAGCACTTCAGGCTCCCCCAACAGGTTATGTGTATGTTCTCAGTTAGAGTGGGGGATTTTTCATTTTATTACAAAAGAAATAGTTGAATCTACTACAATCTATTAAGTCCTTCATACTTGAATCATTTCAATGGAATTTTGGATACCATTATTTAAATTTGACAGGATAAGACAAATATAAAATCATTTTCAATTCTGTACTTATTTACAGAATGCCTACTATACACCATTGTCTTTATGAGCTGGGGCTTCAACGGAGAAAGTAAATGAAGCAGGCTATAATCTTAAAATCTAACAATCTTAGAGCCTTACCCTCTTAGAACTTACTAGTGAGGGTAAGACAAACAATAAACAGTCGAAATAAATTTCTCCATATATGCTTTGTGTGTATGCGTGTGTTTATAAAATGTCAAATGATGATAAGGGTTATGGAGAATTCATTTAAATAGGATCGCTGGGGAAGGCCTTACTGAGGAGATAAAAGTATATAAAGATGAGTAGAAGACAAGGACTGAGTATGTGAATATATGGGAAAAAGTCATTCTAGACAGAAATGATTTCAGGTGCAAAGGCCCTGAGGCAGGATACCATTGTTTATGGGGAAAGTAGGATAGTATAGTTTAAGCCAAGAGTGTTCAGTGGACAATCTGGAAGATAAATAGAACTGACAGTGAATGAGATCAGATACTGTAGGCTTCTGATGACTGACAATTCTGGCTTTTAGACTGAACAAGATAGCAAATTATGGGAGGTGTTGCATAGAGAGATGAAACAATCTAACTCAAGTGCCAATCAGATCACTCTTGTTACTCTATTGAGAATAGAGAGTAATGGAGATACAGATTCAAGTAGTTATGTACTGTGGTCATGTGAGTTCTCTTCTGAGCATTTCTGTTTTTTAGTGACAAAGAAAGCAAAGACATCCAAGAGGAAATGTATGGAAAAGTGTTATGAGTTTGAGGAGAGAAGAGAAGCTATCAAAAGTTATCTAGGAGCATCCTAAACTTACTGGACTTTAGAATATCAGGCACCACTAAGGCCCACTAGAGGTTAGAGATCATGAATTTTAGGTGATTTATCAGTCAGGGAGTATTTTACTTCACCCATTTGTAGCTATGCGGGTGCAGTGTGGTGTTGGTAATACTTTGAATTTAACCAGGATTGGGATTTGTCAAACTGCCATTTACCAAATCTGGGTCTGATGAAGGGAGCTGATAATGTGTGCAAGACAATGAACACGGTAAGAAATAAGGAATTTCTGCTGAATAAAGAGAGGTGCAAGGCCATGAAGAGGCAGGGCAAGGGAGTGAATAAAAGGGATCAACGGATTTCAGGTTTCAGCTGAGTCACAGAATTGTTGGAGTTGAGTTCCTCGAGGGAGGGGAGGGAAAGCGACACTGTAGTAATCTGAGTAGGATATAAGAATCTCTGGTTAAGAGTATAACAGAGGAGGTGCAGTCTTGACAATGAGAGAGTCACAAACCTGACCTTGGAGTAGGTAGTTAAGGCAGGAAATGACAAGATCATTAGAGAGGAGGAGAAAAAACAGAGTTCAGGTACTAGAAAAGTCACCAATGTCAATGATATTTAAGTGTGGCCCATGGACCCGGCTCATTTGCCAAATGGCTATGACCAGCTCATGACCAGTTAAGTACAGATATTAAGAGCAATCATTTAGAACATTTTACAGCAATTTGACAGACTAATTTTATGTGTGGGGAATCTAGTAATAAAATTTTTAAGCTCCATTTTTTATCTCTTTTGAAGTGGCCTTTAGTTAATAATTCTTGTTTTATTTTTCCTAAGTGTGGGAATGTAATGTCATAAACAGTTTGAGGAACAGTAATCTATGTGAATGTAAGAGAGGCTGACAGTGAGCCAAGAGCTAAAATCTAATAAGATGAGGAGACTGTTAAAAAGGAAGAATGTTGGGTGGTGTAGTTTGCTGACATGTGATTCAAAGAGAGGAGGCTTTAGGAAGGAGGAAGAGAGAGTGAATAACAAGGACATACTCATATTAGCCTCAGTATCATAAGCATATGTGAAGTAGACCACACGGAAAGCCTCAAAGAAGAATAAGAACAAGAAAGTGAAGAAAATGCTCAGCAAGTGTTGAAGAATGGAGACAATAGGGTGTCAGTCTTGTAGAATTTTCCAAGGCCCAGACAGTTGGAAGAATCGTGACATTAAAGAGTTGTTACTCAAGTGGGTAAATTATATCAACTGATCATTTTATATGATTATACTATGATGTGATAAATTTTATTTTTAAGTTAATTTGCAACCTAAATGTTAAGTAATGTAAACTAAATGACAATTTAATGAGGAAGCCAGTGGAGATGCTGACTGCAAATTATGAAGAGGATTTGTCAACATTAAGTGCTACTAAAATAAATACACAGAATACCAAATACAATTATAGCACATGTTTTCACTTCTAAAGTTTATATTCCTTGCTTTTTTTCATCTTTTCCATTTTGAAAATCAGAATCTGTAACTTTAATATATTTTATATTGAAAAGGGTTTTTCTATTTTAATTACATTAAAAATGGCTTTTGAAAATGCAAAGACATAATATACGCATCCACTAGAAAAAAGGCTACTAAAAATAGACACTGAACTGCATATACTTATAAAATATACATTTAAATAGTTAGTTACCTGTAATCTGTGCCATTGACGGGAGTCCATGTGTATGTCCTGTTACCTTTGTCAATATATCTCTAGTAAAAAAAGTTTGATATTCAGGTTATCATCACTCCATATATTCTATGTGAATGTATATGAAGAGCAGAACAGTAGGATCTATTTATACTTTCTGTGGCCATTCAACACCCTTCTTCAAAAGTGTCTAATCTATTCTATTCTGCATTTATTTGTTCTGTTATGGGTGTGTGTGTGTAAGAAAATTTTAGGGCAAAACTCAACATCCACTTAACACATTTTGAGGACTTATTAGTGCAAAATCTTAGTTAACTTATTGTGCCAAATTAATAACCTCAAAACTTCAAAGACACTTCCTGAAAAATTTTAATCGTGAAATAAGACTGTGAAGTAAGACTCAGATAGATAGCTTCATGCTGGAGAATGTTTAAGAGAAATTGGTAATATCAGGGAGTTAATGTACTCAGTGTGTCTAGACAGAAATGCATGGCTAGCATATTACTGTACTAATATTTACAGTATTTATCTATCATAAGAAACTCCTCAGTACCACTGAAGGTAAGAAAAACAACGAAGTTCACCAAAGAAAGGAAGTACAAGGCTAAATGGATATTGAATCTTTCATTTGTAGCTGCTGAACAAAGGTAAACAAATTACCATTCTTTCTTCTGTCAGGTACAGTGATGGCACATATGCATCTTTAAACTTTTTGGTCATCACCAACTTTGCCACCCTCATCAGAACAGTAACATTCACAGAGGCGTTACTTGGTACCAGGCAATGCTAAGTACTTTATGGCCATTGTCTCATTTAATTAACCCCCTGGAGTAGATACTATTATCTACACTATGTTGATGAAAAAGTAAGTCTTACAAAGGAAGCATATTGGCAGGATGAAGGAAAATGCATGATGCCAGATTCACTTTATGACAACTACACACATTACCTTTATACATCAAACTCCTATAGCTTTAGCTACATGTATAGACATGGAGGAGGGGGAGGAAGTGGTGAGGAGGTTTTTGGACTAGTAAAATTCTCAAAAGAAACAATGTTTATGTATTTGTCAGTATTCGTAAAAAACATGGCAAACTAGTGTTCAGCAAGTTAAAGTAGTATCAGATTAGGGAAATACACAAGGCAATGTTTCTCTCAGTATAATAGGAAAAGTCTACAGGGAGATATTGCTCAGAGGGATTTACAGTAAATTAAAGGAGGGAAAATATCAAAGCGACTTAAAAGAAACCGAAGTAATTTGTAAGCTGAGGGAAGAGTGTGCCGCTCAAAGAGCTCTTGTTGGTGAAATGTGGAAAAGCTGGCAGAACTGCTAAATGGTCACACCTTTCCTCAGGGAGCGAGGGGGTAAAAGGTAAAGAGAGTCAAAGTTCAGCAGGACTGAAATGATAAATACCTCCCTTATGTTCTGGTAATGGCGGGCTTCCTAGTGACATTAAATGAGCAAACCATAATGTTGTTCAAGTAATTGTACATTAACGATTCCAAAAAAAAAAAAATGAGCAAAGCCATGTGCTAACGGGGTGATACTGACATCCTAGCTCCATCTTAGGGAAAGATCTGCTGAGGAATTCAGGAGAAATGTATATATTAAAAAGGATCACAATGTGAGGGAAAGGAAATAAGCTATATATAAAAACTTAAATATCCAGGCTCAAAAAGGCCACGCTTCTGGGTTCCATATATTTTTCAAATATTCAAATATATGGATGCCTATGTGTTTACTTTCACTCCATTGTGTGATTCATCATAGACAGACATCACTCCTTATATACAAAGAGCTCTTCCATGTCAATGTAAAACAACATAAGTTTATTATATGCTTGTACCACTGATTTTGGGGGTACTTGTATTATTTCTTGATTTAATATCAGATTTAAATGCAAAACAATTATAAAGTACATAAATAAAAAAACATAAATCAAGACCAGAAAGAAGTAAACAAGTAACACACTAAAACACAAAAATAAACCCCAAGTAATATATGGAACTCAACAATTAGAACACTACATGCACAAGCCATATAAAAACAGCTATTAAATATTAACTTCAGTTTTGCATGATTGAAATGGTTTAAAAGAACATGGTATGACATTACACTGCATGCTTTATTTCTTATAATGATAAAAAAATGGAAACAAAACTTTTAGCAACATACTATTAGTAAGAATACCTAAAGCACTATCATTTTATAAAAAGAGCTAAAACTCTAATGGAAATTCTCTCTCCAGCAGAGTACCTTACATTTTTTTGTTGTTTACTAGAGGAACATTCCTGTTTACAAATAAGTATTGCTTTAATAAAAGGAAAGACGAACTACCAATATCAATTATTGTAACTGAAATATATAATTTTGTTTAAAAATAAGCCTGACTTAATTCTTACCTCATCTTGAGATTTAACCAGGGTTCTGAATGTTTTTTCTCCACTTTCACCATCTATCATTTTATTTCGAATCTATGAGAAATACAAAACAATTACTTTATTGCAGGTACTCAACTGAACTGCCAAAGGATGATTATTAAAGTTAGTTTTTCAAGGTTTATGCCTTATTTTAGAATAGATTAAATAAAAATACTAGCTTTGTTTTAGTAGTATTTACAGCTGTTCTCTGGGAATATTCCTTAAAAAGTTACATTATAGTCATTTTATATTATTTTAAAATAATTAAAAACACCCTTAATTTCAGCATTAAATTAACAGCGTTATTTTCAACCAGTCACTAGTATTTAAAATGCAATTAATAAGAGTGACCAATGACCTATGAGATTGATTGAGGGGAAAGTGAGACTTAAGAAAGGCAGAATATTATTACAGTCACTCAGTGGCAACAGAGTCTGAAGACCAAGCTCTTCACCATTACATGATCCCACTCTATCATGTCGAACTCCACACAAATGCTCATTAATCACCTAAAATATTCCAACGTTATGTCTCAGTCTAGGGTAATTATAATAAATAATTAAATTCTGTCATTGTACAATGAGGGAGTAAATGTGTAAAGCAAGTACAAATTAAAACACACTGACAAGTTATAAGAGAAATGTGGTGCCCTTTGTATGTAGATAAGATAAGGAGTTAGAACACCTCAAATAATCTTAAAAATATTAGCTCTGGAGCACAAAAACCTGGTTCAAATCCTGGTTGTACTACTGACTTGCTAAGTAACTAGAGACTAGCTTTTTAACTTCTCTGTACTTAAAACATATCAGTACAGCAGATATAATAATAGTTATTTCAAAGCCTTTTGACGTGTACCCATGTACTTAATAGATGTTATTATTATCGTTAGTGATTATCCTTAATAATTATGTAAGACCTCTCAGGGGGAACTGACATACAATTTTGGTTTTGCATAAAATAGAAAATTTTTGAGTAAAGTGTACTAAAAGAAATATGGCAGCTTCTGTCCTCATGCTGCTCAATGGGTGGCTTGTTGGTTAGATTCTCTTCCACTTTTCTTTCAACACTATAGCAATATCCTTCATCTCTGTTTTTTTTTAAATGAAGTTTACAAGTTATATTTGTACTGAAATACTCAAAATATCTCCACCTGTAGAATGAGGAAGAAAAAACTAATAGTACATCTAACTTAAAATATTTATTCCTATTCCTATGATCTTTTGGATGACAGAGGCCAAGATCTAGAAATTTTTAAAGAAAACATTCATCTTTGTATCACGGTATGTGAGAGTGGAACTATTACTATGTTGCTGCTCAAAAGAAACTTATGGAATGGGTAAATCCTAGCATCTGAGCTGAGAGTACTGTACAGGCCTGCTGATTACACTCACCTCCACTTTAATATCATTTTCTAACTCTGCATCAAGGAAATCCAAAGTTACTGGCTCCTGAGATTTGGGGTTCTACACAGAAAATAATAATAATTAGGCATATATAATATTGCAAAATGGTGTCGCATACAGAATGATACAATGGATAAATATGAAATTAATTCCATAGAGTTACTTACCTAAGGTGCACTAAATAGCTGACAAAATAATTGCACAAAGGTATATTTTTTCATATATCTAATTAAAATTAATAATAAATAGGCTGGGATTTGAGTTTTCAGTGTAACAGATTTTAATTAATCATGGACTAAAGACAGTCTCATTTTGAGTGTTGTGATAGCTGCTACATTTACAATCATAAGTTCTGTGGGAATCTAACTTCTGAAGATCCACTCACTTTTTTAAATTAGGATGGGAAAGAAGCATAATATAGCCATGTGGATAACGTATTTGGCAAGAAAATGAAGGCAACATATAAGGAATATACATTCTTTATTTGTATTCTGTAAAAAAATAGGAAATTCTCACACACCTGATCATCTACAATTGCTCTCTTACAACACTAAACTATGTTTTCTACCTTTATCTTGCATCTACCTACCACTTCAGCATTTTATTAAAAATAAAAAAATAATAATAATAAAGGGAGAAATGTGGGATCCACATATAAATCAAGTATAAAAATCAAACAAATATTCATATGTGACCTGACTGTTTATAGTTCATCATGCGTGATCAAAACCGAAAGTTTCTGTGATGAATGCCCTTGTACTGTTCACCATGTAAGAACTTATTCACTATGTAAGAATTCATTCACCATGTAAGAACTTGTTCGTTATGCTTCAGAAGATTGGAGACTGACGAGAATTAGGCTTGAGATGGATTAATGATTGTGCATTGAGCACTGACCCCCCTATACTGAATTTTATTGTTGTTAACAACCATTTGATCAATAAATACGAGAGATGGCCTCTCAAAAAAAAAATAGGAAATTCTATAAGGGAAAATGTTTTAAAAACTATGTTTAGATTTACTGAGTAAAACGAACTCTTCTAAACTTATTCTTTCCTCTTAAAAGGCATACAGGAAAGATGAAAATTTGGTTCATATATTTGAATATCAGATATTTTACTTTATCTTTTACAAAGTCAAAGTAAGACAATTTTTAAAATAAGATTTGTGGTCAAGTCATAAGAACTTTAATAAAGATTAGCTATTACAACTAAAGTCTAACTAGAATAACGAACGGTTCCCTAAACACTGTTTCCTGCATTAACATCTCCTACTACTTGTTCCTGCTGGTGTGCAACAAGAAAATTCACTCTGGAACAAGGCAGATTATTTATTTATATAACTATATTAAATGAAACTGTTATCCTGGTGAACTTACCTTATATGACATTTAAAGAATTTCTTGATCATAAAATGGAGACTTACTGAACTAGTGATAAAAAAATATAATGATTCTAACATTCTAGGAAATGTAACATGCCTAGTGATAAAAAAATATAGTGATTCTAACATTCTAGGAAATGTAACATGCCATAGTGGAATCTCAAAGTTCACTAGAACATTAAATGATAATAAACATCTATAATTTTATAATTAAATAATTTTAGAAACTGGATTTTTAAATATTTACTAGAATAAATATCACAAAAATATAGCTAGAAATCAAACACATTATGCTCTATTAGTGCAAGGTCACTGGAATTTTAATAATTTCAGCCTCACAAGGCTCTTTTGAAATATGCTCAGATCATCACTATTTTAAACAATGTTTTAGGAGGATCGACAACCCAAGCTGATTTAGGTAATTAGAACTGTATTACGATTAAACATCCTATTTATGTCAAATGCTAAGTAACATAGTATGCATGGCATGTATTTATTTTGTAATTATGACAAAAATGCCTTCCTTCAAAGAGTAACTCCATTTAAATAATGAAAATTTAGGATTCCCATGGGTTTTGATGAATGGGGATACTTAAAGGCAGATGAAAAAAAAAATTCAACTGTGTCCAGCACTTTCACTGAAAAAATATTTACTGCTTATGAACTCGTTATCTAGAATCAGAAGTTTCTGGAATATTGAAAATAAGTATTATATTGTTCAACAGATGAAAATACCATTATTTGGACAGCATCTTACTGCCTCAGAAGCAAATTTTCATTTGGAGTGTAGCATATTTAACAAAGAGAAAAAAATTAATACTGAAAATATTATAATCCTTTGTTTAAAAACAAAACCAAGAAAGACTCTAAAAAAGGTCCCTCTAAACTTTCAATTACAATATTATTATTAATATAAAGTTACATTATTCAGAATTGCTTAAAGCCCCAAGAAATGAATCATCACCACACAGACACCATATACTATTAAAATTAACAAACTCACTGCAAAACAAAGTCAAAAAATCAAAACGATAATATATAGACATAAATAAGAATATTATCTTACATGCAATGGATAATGCATAGCATGATCAGACCCAAACAGCATGCATGGAGGAGGCATTATCAGGAAGAATTGGCAATATGAAGATCATGTCCCAATCCAACACATAAAGACACAGAGAAGAAAATGAAATCATCAAAGAAAAATGTCAATGCATAACTTCTAGTTTTTAAATGGCAATCTGGCTGACCATTTTTTAAAGGCCCACCATAGGCACAGTGACTGAAAAATTCAAAAGCAGGATCTTCTACTAAGAAAGCACCATGAGAATACTGAGAACTTCAGTCCCTGCAGTCCCAGTACTTTTGCTTGATATTTTAAATATCTAACATTTGTAAAATTTGAATATCAGCTGACACAACGAACATACCATTTGTGGAACTAAACTAAAAAGCAGAATACAAAGTTGCCAAACAAATCTTAAACTGAAATAATTAGCTAGTATTATTAGAAATACTCCATAGTTTAAAAATTATTCTCAAAATTCAGATAAAATTTTGTGTGGTTGCTAGTTTGCCATTTAGGATTTTCTTAGAAGGAAAACAAAAATAAAACAAACCATTTTTCAGGTTGTTTATTTTTAAATTGTATCATAATATTCACATGCAATATTTGAAAGTATGGCAAGAATAAAAATACACTAAAGTGTACATGAATGCAAGAAGTATAATTTAAGATAATGCACAACAAAGAAACATGCAAGGAGAATAACATAAACAATTTATGAAGAAAAGACATAAATATAATTTTAACCTCTACGGGAATCATAAAAGATGTGGAGGCCTGATGCAACAACATGAAATTCAGACTGTCACAATATTCTAGAGCTCGAAGGGGATGAAAGCTTCTTTTAATCCAGTGGCTCTGCACTGTAGAACCAGCTGGGAAGCCTTAAAAACTACTCAGAAGCCTGTGTCACACCCCTAGTTAAATTAAACCAGAATTTTCAGAAGCTGATGCTGAGGATTAATATACATATTTAATTTCCTAGGTGAATATACTCTGTAAGGCAGAAAATAATTGCTTGTTCAATTCCTCTGATTTTCCAATGAAGGCACTGAAGCACTATGGGATTTAAGAACCTAATCAAGGATACAGTGTTAGCTGTAAGTAGAACCAACTTGGAACTCAGTTCTATGAATTCATAACTTAATGACCTCTGTTTAATATCGTATTACCTTTGCCCATTATGTCACCAACCAACTTTTTTTTCTCAGAAATATTAGGCTTATATAAAAATACAAATAAAATAAGTCATGTTGAAATTCCTTTGCAATTCTGGAATTCTCTTACTAAACTGTAGGAAGTATCCTTTTATGATAATTATTTTTAGTGTGCTTATAGAAATATTCATAAATAAAATATCGTTTAAATTTTGTTGCCAACAGATAAAAGATTTTGCAATGAGTCTGGCAGGTGATAAAAATTCACAATACTTATTTGCAATTTGGGACATTTTTACATGGCTAAAGGGAAGTGCCTCTAACTTCTAAAAGATACACTTTAAGAGAAATTCAAAGTAATTTTGACTTAAATTTTGTAATTTACACAACCTATCACATCAGGACTGAAACTTTATTTCCAATTTGAAGTTAATTTTGTAAGCAAATTGTTAGGATTTCATGGATTTGACACTAATTTCAGAATATTTAATAGCAAGATTATTTTTTAGAAGCCATTTAATTACGATTACACTGATTAACATTCTTATTACATAATTTGATAGCAATCTTTAGTTAGCAAATGCATACCCTCTGCCATAATCAGTAACATTTTTGCTCCAGTTTATTGAGAAATGATGCTCATTTCCATCTCATGCTCTGAAGCTTGATGTCAGGTAAGGTGGCATTAATTATATGCTTTTACAAAAAGAAGCTTAATCTTAACTTTGATTTAGCGAAATTGAAGGCACTGCTAACATCATTCACAGTTACCTGAACATTGGGTCTCCTTTTTCTTAAATTTATTGTTGGTATACCTACACCAATAGGCTGAAGCAACAGAAAGATCATAGTTCATACTACATATCAACATAGGTAAGGGTTCTACCCTATCATCAATTTTGGTAGGTATTTCCTTGGACAGAAACAGGCATCATAGAGTTCATGCTGAGTCAATAAATAAAACTGAAGTTTAAAAATATTTTTAACAAAATGTTAATATTTTCCTTTTTGTCTAGAAAAGTTTATATTTGGGAAGTAAGAAGGATTGTCTGTCTCAGGTTTTATGCTCACTTAATAAAAGAGACAAAACTTTTAGCATTTACATGATTAAAATATGTTAAAATATAAAATATTATACAGATAATGAGAAGTCTTAATCTTAAATCCTTAAAATTTGTGCTTTTGTTTTCTGAAATGATACCAAATGTCGTATATGTGGAACTAATGGAGAATTCAATTATAAAACAAGATTTATTTTAAATATTGACTTCCAAAATGTAGATTATTATGCACTATTTCCTGTACAGTAGATATTTCTTAAGATTGATCAAGTCGAGATACCTAATAAATCTGGTTATTTCAATGAAACAAAGTGAAAGAAATTTAAAATGTATTTTGGAATAAAGCAGAATATATAATCTAGCATTTGTCAGAATGTGGTCATGGCAGGCACAGGACACTTTGAGAAGTAAGGATTCCTTAAAAAACTGGATATGCAAAAGATTCATAGCTACTTTATTTACTGATATTCTGTGCTTTTTAAAGGACACTTGTACTAGTGTCTACAAACTATAAAACTGTATGGAAATAATTTGAATTATGATTACAGTTTCAGAGAGAAAGCACAGAATTCATCTAAGAATACTTACAAAAATATTAGACTTGTTAAACAGTAATGGTTCCTATAGTACATAGCATTGTTTTCCTTTATTTCTATTGGTTGAGTTCCTAATGACAGAAGTAAGATTAATCTTGTTACTATACTAGCTGTTACTATATTGGTCCTCTCTATTTGTCAACTTCTAAAAGAGCTGTTTTACACTGCATGATACTTTTATGAAGTTCTTCTATCTGTATAGCATGCACTATTACTTGCAAAATGGAAATCATAATGTTTAGCCTGTTAATGAGAATTAACAAGCATATTTAATTCACAAGCATGAATTTCAGAAAAAAAATTCACTGATTGTGCCAACATTTGTTTTTAATGATTTTCTAAAACACTAGTTTTCTAAATGTTTTTGCATGCTTGCTTTTAAAAATTACCTGCATAAAACTATGAACAGCTAATGTAATTCTAAAGAATCACCTGAGTTGTAATAAAGATTACTGTAGAATTTATATTTTTTGTAATCACATGAATATTAGTAAATTATTCTAAATATGAGCCAAATAAATGTTAACTGAAAGACTAATAAATTTTTTTCTACATAAATACTGGTTATTAGTAGAAGAATGCAAAAAAGGGAAAAACCATTTTTAAATTATTACCTCTGAGTGATAAATTGATATATGTATATATATCATATGTGTAATATTCTCATTATTCTTTTTTATTATTTTGTCTATGGTATATTTTACCTCCTTTTAAGGAATGGGTTAAGACCTATAATCATAAAAATGGGGATCTTTCATACCCTTCAACATAGTACATTGTTATGCTTTTAAATCACTTTAGTTAAGGGAATATAACTTAAAATACACTCATATATACAAAGACCAAACAATAATACTACAAATTAAAGAAAAAATAAAAAGATTGAGGAAGATAAAATTTTTCTTTTTAACTATGGCAAAATCATAAAATGTTTATAGCCAATCACAAATAATTCTATTAAGAGGAACTTAACATGACATGTTTATAATGGCCTGTGATATCCTAATAATAATGTGAAGTTACTCACATTGATGATAAAATGACATTAAAAATAATACAGGGTGATCAGCAGTTACATTTGATTCACAAATACTCAGATCATGGTGGATTTTACATGGAAATAAGTTCCAAAGTGAGAAGAATTAAGACATAAACTATAACCATTTAATATGTTTTTGCATTCAGTATCAGTGGTTCTTAATCACTATGGATTTGAGAAATACTTAAACAGCTCAACTTACTTGTGAATGTATGTGTTTGCACATACTTCGTGTCCTAACATATCACTAACATTAAGTATTCACTGAAGAAGACAAGGTAGTATGCGTAAGTCCACAGACATTTCCTTCCAGCATGGTTTAAAGTATCCTCAGTATTCAGAGCTAACCATTAGCTTAGTATAAGGTACAATTATTTAATATGATTTTGCCAATTGTTACTTCTAGATAAATGCATTTCACTTTATGTGTGAAAAATTAATGAAAAGTAAAATAAGTTGGATGAGATATTTAGAAAAATATTTTCTATCTTGGGCAAACAGGGCAAAACCCAAGAAGGATAAAAGGTTTCATCTATGGAATTTTATCACTTCTGGTCAACTCGCTGATTAATAAACACTTTCCATTTCTGAAGCCCATCCTGTGGAGTTTCACTTATTGCATTGTTTACATACTTTTACAAGACTGCATGAAAGTAGAAATAAAAACACTCTGGGAGATGGAAAGGAGAAAGAATTACCAGAAGAAAACAGCCATAGAAAACATAGCCTGTGCTTCTATAATGCAGTCCACAACCCTCCAGGGCAATCTCCTTCAGTACCTTAAAGTCTTACTTAGAGTCCCAAGGGGGATGTGTGACACTAGGCACAGGGGGCGACAGTAGTTATATTTGAGATAGGAATATTGGTTAGCTAAAAATATTGGATAGGAATGTTGGACAGCTAAATTGGAAAGAGAAAATGAAAACTGCTTTCACACTTACCATATATTATAAGCTGTGGTCTTTTCATCTATTAACATTACAAATATAACATTTCCATATATTTAGTGCTCTCCAGTGAATTTAAAAGTGACAAAACTTTAAGAACATTACTCTTTAAAGAATACTAACCAATGCAAACATTTATATACATACCTTTGGCTGAAGATTTGGATGTAATAAAACATAACCATTAGGATCAATTGCAAAATAATAGCCATTGGGGCACAGCTGAAAAATAATGAAACGATTTAGAGACACCCTGAGTCACAATCAGAAATCCACATTTTGTAAACAAATAAGAATTCATAAATACACATTTTAAAGCATGAAGGAGGAGAACATGGTATCTTTACATTTTACTGTAAGGATCTTTTTTAACATTGATTCCTTTGCTAAAATAACTGCACATCATTTTTGAGAATTACTTCAGTGCTTTACAGACAAGTGAAATTACTACAGAGCTTGAAAACAGAAAAAATACCCAAACAGTAAATTACATCTTACTGTAAAACGTGGTGTTAGTCTTTTAATATCTTCCAACGACACATCAACTCCCATCACACCAAGAATTAACTGGTTCTATAATAAGATAGCAGAAAGGTAGTGTATTTTATACTGAAAATTTACATACTTCTACATAATTGTTATATTCATCCATCCTTTTGCTTGAAAATAGTTGTATTCAGTACTCGTTTAAACACACATATAAGGGCGAGGCCATTTTGTTATCAATTTACAATGATTCTCAGCTTTATTTTCTCACAGGTTTATCATTATTATTATTTAGCTTAAAAAATGAAATTTTGATTGAGGTGAAAATATAAGATATATAAAATTTTTTATTTCATACTTTTTGTACTCATTACCCCAAATATTTATTTTAATTGGTACTGTACAGTCAGCAGCTAGAGCTATGTGTGTGTCTGTGTATGTGAGTACTTTGTGTTGTACTATGATTAAGAAATCACAAAAAAAGTCTAGCTTAAAGATGCTGAGCAATATGGGAAAAGAAAACTGGATTTTTGCTATGACAGTAGCTGTGTGAGTATAACTATCCTGGAGTATGTGACCTTATTGGTAATGAAAGAGTGGAAATCCTCAACACAACTGTTTCTGGTTGCAACTAATGTCTTCTAAATGCCGAACAATGGGCATCGCTATTTCAGTTGTAAGTCAAGGAGGCTGTGTGGCAAATTGCTGTCATAATCTTCTATGGGACGTGAATATGGAAATGGTGTTAAAATTTAGAAGCAGGAAATTTTAAGTAGAATTATATCAATTATAAAATAAACTGAAATGTTACAAAGAAAATGATAAAATCCAGTCAATAGATATTCAAATACTTTATTTAAACTTTGTGTAGGTGCACACAGTGAGAGAAAGTTATGTCAGCATCTATGCTCTTTTCCCATGAACCAATCCTAGTCTGGGCAAAAACCCCAAATGAAAGCAACCTCACAGATAGTCCATATAAGAAATTAGAGAAATACTTACTCCTTTGTGAGTTATAATATCTAGAACCCGCAGATATTTAAGAATGGTAATGGGCCCCCAAAGAGGAATAACAAATGTTCACTATGGCCACATTATTAAAATAAGGAGTTCAACTGAAATTTATGATAACTGAAAAAATAATGCTTAAGTGCAACACACTTCATTGTACCATAAACTGGAAATAAATTTCCCTCAAATCAGGAATGTCAACCCAACTATAAAATGAGTATAGCATTAAGAAAATCTTGAATTGTCCTGCATTCTTAAATTCCTTCTGATGCAGGCTATGAAATAGGAATGCAACCCTACTTTTAAGCCAGAAGCATATAAAGAATAAGTCATAGAATTTAACAAGTACAAGAGACATGTTTTCCAGAACTTTGAGAATTTTAAGTTGGTAGCATTTTGTTGCACTGAGATTACCAATATAGAGAAATCAAGGTGATTATGAAACTTGTTAAGTATTTTTTCTGAATCTTAAAAAATAGAAAAAATAATAACGAGCCCTATTCATTAAAACCAGCTCCTTAAGTTACATGATGATTTAAAAAAACACTGTTTGCAAGGAGTTGGAGGAGGAATGAATGATTCAATAATACCTGATACAAACATCACCACGGTTTTGCTCTTTGGATTTTTCTTTCTCAACTCCATGGATATATTAGATGCATTTAAAAAATGTGCATGCAATAAGTATTGCCCATTTATCTTGTAACTACTCCCAGAGTCTGAACTTGTGTTCTCATCAGGTCATTGTTACATAGAGTTAAGCTGAATCTTGGCTCTGGGGAAACAGAGAACTTGACCTGCATTTCCTTTTCCCAGGTGGTTATCACAAGAACAGCTGTGGCCTTTTATTCTGGCCTCACAAGATGGTTACAGTGTATGTACTTCCTTATAGAATTATCTTATCCACACTGAGCTTCAGCGTCATAGTTTATCATTTATTATTATTAATTTTATCAATTAACTTTTAACCTTTAAGTTTGTCTTATTTTCCACTTGGCCAGTTATGTTGAAGACCGGAAGAGTTCCAGTAATGACAAGTCCCAGTTCCTAAAAATAGATGCCAAGAGCAAAGGAAAATTAAAATTACAATTTAAACTCTGTCATTCTGCATTCATCTTTGATATCTGACACTGCATTTTATACTTTACAAAGAACTGCAAAAAAATCTGCTAATTGATTGTAAGCCTATTTTATTAAGAAATCAATGAAAATGTCTTGGAAATAATCAGAGTAATAATTAGGCAGCTATTGAAGCATGCAACATCTAAAAGAATACTGTAAGAGAGCACTGAACATAACTTAAAATTAAAAAAAATCAAATGACACTAAACATTTCAGTAACCCTGCTCCCCCACTCTTTTTCACACAGTGGTCATTTGTGTGATATCAGGGGCCTTCGTGAGCAGAGTGATATTATAATATTGTTTCAAATGATTTATTCACCTTCCTTTGTTGTAGGTTCATTCTTGATTTTTTTATGCCCTAAGCCAAAGGTTTCATGCTGAATCACAAACATGTAGTAGAAGGATATTATAAACAGAAGAAATATGCTATTGACACTGCATTTCTGGGATAGTCTATGTAAATTCATAGTGTTCAAAAGAAGCAATATTGCTTTTAAATACTGTCCAAAATGAATAGTAGTTTTTGACAAGGTAAAATGATGCAGAAAACTTGTTAAGCATCAAATATCAAAGTCCAGTCATGAAGCAGTTTAGTGTAACAAAAATAATGACACATTACTCATCAGATGCAGAAAATTTCATGTTAAATTATTCCATGAAGGTTAGTTGAAATAAACTGGTTTTCAACTCAGAGGCTGCATTTTTTAAACAGCCATCTGTGACAGTTACATACTTTATTTACCACTGTTTCTTATCAAAACTATACTTTCAACAAAATTACTTTTAAGTCACATTGAACAATTATTGTGTTGAATATTTTGAATTCACTGAGATAATATTAGTAACCCTCTTGTGAATAATGACCCCACATCCAAATCTCATGACCCCTGTTCTAAATCCAGAAACAGCATGGTCTCATAGAGAAAATGTCTTAGGCTATGGTTTATAATTGTGCATGTGGGAAGCCCAAAAACAACGCGAATTTATTAGTGAGGAAGGACAATCAGAGACAGGCTTTCAGCACAAGATAACAAATCGTGACAAAGAAAAGCAAGCAAACAACTACACTTAGGATAGGTAATATATATTGTGCTCTCTATTCAGGCTTAAGCAAGAACATTTGACAGTGCACACGTTAATATGCAAATTAATATTCAGAGTGAACATTTCCCACCTCAATAAAGTCAGATTAGAGATAATTTATAAAACTAATATCCAAGAGAGAATTCAGTAAAGATTCCTTTTCACAAATCTCCTGAGTTGTAATGTATGTGCATGGTTTTAAAATGCTAACATGACATAAGGAAAGGTATATCCAGATGCAATCATCATTTATGTCACTGTCACATTGATCAGAATACTATATTTTCCTTCGAAATATAGTAAATATGTGCCCTAAAATGAGACACTCAATTCTAGCATGTGATATAAAATTACGGATGAACTCACTGATACCTAATTTTTATTTTCTCCCTCACTTATTAGACCAAAAATCCTGTACTCTATTCCTAGGCACTATGAAAGTCTAGAGAATGAAAAAAAAGAAAGAAAACAAGATTTATGCTCCCTTGGATTATTTGATACTTATTTTCTAGGGCCCAGTTTTTTTCATCTCTCTCCCTCTCCTTTGGTACAATGAATCTCAGTTTATCTCCCAAATAAAATGAACCCTCCACAATATCGTCCTAGTCTTGTTTTGGTCCTTATCCCCCATTACCTCTGAAAGTGACGGAGGTACCGCTCCGTCAGGATGCCCGGCGCCTCCACGGCCTTCATGCCGCACTTCCTCTATGCGTTTCCCTCAGCGTCAGCTGTGGAGACCTGACCCGGACTCGCATGGTCGGCTAAAATATCACCGTCTTTCTGACCTCACCTTGATCCATCTGCAAATATATGGCTTTTTTCTTCTGAATTTACAGAGCTCTTCTCATTTTTCTCATGGTATTTACTACATCTTATTTTGCATATTACCTTTTCCTTCTTAACCTAACTGTTAATTTGACCGGCATATATTTTGAATCTGCTGTGTGCAGAGATTATCAACACATAATTAGACATACAAGATGGGTCACTTTTCATTCTCAAGTTAGCAAAAAGAATGCTCTGTGGGTCCGCTGACTAGCCAACACATGTTTTTTTTTTTTACATTTAGTTTCAGCTTATCGAACAGCATTATTTAGAACCAAACTCTCCTTCTAAAGTCATTTGTGCTATCAGGAAGAACCTTACCAACAATGCAGACATGCTGGTTAATGAGCTTCTGCTCATAGGAAACACAACAGGACATGATTACTGACTCCTCCTATCATACTCTGTCCCTGATGGATTTGGGAAAGCGAAACATTCTGACCGTGCCTTTAGATGACCATGTGACCTTAAATAAATATGTGACGTCAGGAAGGAACCCTGGACGGTAATTTTAGCCAGGGCTTGAGGTAAGCAGGCTTCACTTTATCTTTCTTAGCATGCAAAGCTGCTGCTAACTGTGTCTATTTTTCTTCTAACTTCCTGTATGTGTTTATTTTATAAGAACCAAATGATAAGTAATTCTAAGTGGGTTGCATTTTGTCCTTGGGGTTCATTGCATTCAGAAAAGAAAAGTAGTATCAGCATATAAGTGGACTCCAAGTAGGAAAAAGGGTTACTGAATCAGCATTTACTTTTCAGGGCTCAGTGTTTTGATTCTCTTTGATATAATAACATCAGTAAAATCACAAATCAAGTCTTCTCATTAAGTTTAAGCATATGAATACATCTTAATTATGATAATTAACATTACATTTATAACTTTCACATCAGGAAAGTAACAATTGCATTGAAATAAGATTTCTCAACTTTGGCCACACTGACATGGTGAACTAGGCAATTGTGTTGGGGGAGGGGTTGTTCTGTGCACTGTAGGGTGTTGGGCAGGATCCCTGGGCTCATTCCAGTATCAGACAGCAGCAAGCCCTCCCCATCCCTGTGAGGACAATCAAAACATCTACAGATACTTCCAAATGATCTGTGAGAGGCAAAATCAGCCCCACTTGAGAACCACTGCTTTGAAATTTGATGAAACACCTGTTTGAAAATTTCACTTGTGCAATGCATGATTCAACACATTTTTATTGTTTCACATTAGATTTGATCACCTCAGTGGCCTCTTTTCATAAATATCTGGGGATGTATCTAAATCAAAAGATTATAAATGAAGAGAAGAGGTGATTAGGTTTGTGATGATTCAAGGAGGGTAAGATACTTGCCCATCTAGTTGCACGCACTTCTGAGTTCCAGGGTCCGACTTGAGTTGTGGAGGCTATTTATACAAGCTTCGCTAGCTGAAGTCTACTTTAGAAATACTTTTTCCAAAATTCTTTGTTTAAAATCTTTAGTAATAGGTACTAATTCACATGTTAGTATTTACATAAGAATTCACAAAGTATTTGAAATGCCCACAGATTTAAGATTTGAGGTTTGAATTTCCATATTCTCCATGAATCAACTAGAAAAATTAAGAGAACACTTTACATTTGTGGTTCTCCACTACCCACAAATCCCAGTTTTTATATAAAATATCTGAATTCTAGCAAAGAAGGTTGTGATAGAAGGCATTTTAGACAAGATTTAATGAAAGAGGAAAGAGAAATGTCACCTAGAAAGCCGAGAAAGAAGCAGGAGTCACCGTGTTTTTTTGTTAGTGGCAGTCTACTGAGAAATAGCCAATCTCTTACCAGCGCATCCAGGTACACATTAGTCCACTGGACTTGCTTAGCTTTGTCTCCTGCTAAAACCATTGGTCTTCCCAGAACATCCAAATATTCCTATTTATTAAAAAAAATGTTTTTTCAGTGGTTGAAACTACAAAGGCCATGTTGAAAAATATATCTACCCATAGGAAAAATCATCTACTCAAACATGAATATGAAATCAAAGTTGTTTTGAGATAAGTATATAAGCATTTAATTCTTACCTGGCAACTTCATAAATAGTATGTCTCCATACTCTGAATCAACAACACTTGAGTTATATTATTTGTACAATATATCTACCCTAGTATTTTTCTAGTAACAAAACATTCTCTTTCTGAAGTACAGCCAATGATAAGTGAAATACATTCCTTGTGAATTGTTTTATGTTAATCTAAACTACTTAAGGCTCTGTGATTTACTGATAGAAATGCACAAATTTGAAATAATGAAACAGCCACATACTGGCTTTTAGATCACAGATTGTTTGGCTGAAATTCAAAACTACATTTAAACATATCAAAAAATAAATGAAATACTGTGCCAAATCAAGACATTAGACTCAAATGCAGCTGCTGTTTCAACATTCAATGCATTCAGTATGCATTTCTGCAAACACCAGTTATTTATTCTAAATTTTGACTTAGTCTATTTTGTAGATCCTCAATTATGTTTAAGATTGAGTAATGATTTTAAATAGTAATTTATGAATATTTAAACATAATACATATTTGAATCAACTTAATTGCTTCAATCTACAAAGTTATTTAACAGGCATGTTTCCAACTGGTGTAGAAAAACTGTCTCCTTTTTATAAATTTGTTTTAAACAGGCAAACGTATCTTCAGGTGTTATTTGGGAGGTAATCTAAAATTTGGCTATGACCTTGTGTAATCTGTCCAAAATAATTACTGTTTAGTTTTCTGTGTGGTACCTACAACTTGAAAGAACTCATTTAAATGATATGCAATAGAACCAAGTTTAATTTATATGAGATGAGATTGTTAGTAAATTTGATTTTATTTTTTATGACATTTTTAACAACCTGCAAGAACAATATACTCAGTTTTTTTCACCTGAGTTTTAGATGTTCAAAAACACTTGGAACCTTAATGAAATAAAAACCAACATATTATCATGTTACTCAACATTTTGTTACAAATGTAATATTATGGATGATTCTTTTCATTCTCCTTATCTCCTCCATATTGAGCATATTTATAGCAGAAAAGAAATGCCTTATGCTGTGAAAAATTAAAGAAATACTAAATAACTATACCTGAGTGTTGATTCTTATTGCTCCAATGGAAGGAATTTCATAATAGTAACCTGAAAAAAAATTATATATTTAATATTATATAGTAATGATGGGCCACAAACTTATTTAACGGCTTTGTAGGAGGAAAGGACATTTTTTTCACTTTTAAATAATCAAGTCCTTTAATATCAATACCAGTGATAAATCTGGAAAAAGATTAATATATTCTCATAAGTGCACTGGCTTTATGAAAAATCTTGCTACATTTCTTAGATTATATAAAATAAGTGTTATCTTTTACAAAGCAGTCGAGAACCTGTCATTAAAAATATTTCATTGGAGAAATTATTAAGATGTATTACTATAAGTATCTGGCAATTATTTATATATCTGCCTAAATAAAATTTTGGTTCTCTTTATTACTATGTGATCAATTTATTTTTCAAATAACATCTTGTTTTTTTTTTTCTACTCAGAGAAAATATGGGCTCACTACACAAAATCTGAATTACCTAGGAATATGTAAGAATACATTTAAGAAAAACCAATAATCAGAAAAAAAATGTGTACATATATCACACTTTCTCATACCTTAATTTACATCACTTGGATATTCCTCTATTCTTAATTTTTCATGTAAGATTATATTTGATAAGTAACATTCAATAAAATATATTCCTTTATCAATGTGCAATATGATCAGATGCCTGAATTTTTATAACATGTGACACTAATGTTGAGGTCTGTGTCTATGTTTTCTCTAAGGAAATGTATTCAGTATCTTATTCTTGGCTTCATTCCTATATAACTTAGCAAGAATTTTGGATTATTTTAAATGATAAAATATAGAACCAATAACTACCAAATTATTTTTCCTGTAATAAAATGTGGTCAAGAGAACCAATATACTACCTTTATTTTCGCAGGCCATCCACTGAATAGGTCCCCTGTCATAATTATGTTGACCAACTGAAAATGTGAATACACGTACCTGGTAAATTGAAAAACAGATATTTGTTAGGCTGCATAAAGTTTAATTAAATGGCAAAACAAAATAGCTGAAATAAAAGCATGTTTTTTAGTTGATTAATGTGACATGAAATACCAAGGCCAGTACATTCAAGAAGGCACCAGAGAGATGGAATGACCCACTACAACCACGGGCGTCAGTTCCTTTGAGCCGCCTTGCACCACATGGCAGGCCTGTGCTGGTAGGAGAAATGGCATCTTTTCATGCAGCCCAACCCACCCTCCTCTGTCTCACCTGGTTAAAACCACTATCCACATATCTAGGGACTGAAAACAAAGCAGTAAACAAAAATCCTATCAGAGGTATGTGGTTATAAAAATAAAAATGTATACAAGAGGCCCTTACACTTTTAGTTGCATTAGGCAATTATATTTAGTGATGGTTTCATTACTTTCACAACATGGAAATACTTAGGATGTACATGTATGCTTATGGTGTTAAGTATATAACTTATTTTCTATAAAAGAGACTGGCATATAGAAATAAATAGTTTAAGCTCCTAGGATTTTTAAAGGGAGTGGAAACGCTGACTGTGCCTAACATACTATAAAATATGCAAATATTTAAAACTTCAATTAAGATAGCTTTTACATTATAGTAATTTAGAAGATAAATTCAGTTGTCAACAAATATTTAATGAAATGGCTATTTAACACACATTGATTTTTACAATTCAGTTTTCTAAGTAAGCCAATATTCTATGTTCAACATAACATTTTAGCTTTTTCTAAAGATAAACATGCAGAAAATCACTTTTCCATGAATTTGTCTGGTTTGAACTATGTTAAGCACTTTTCTCTAATTCATGTCGATTGCCTGTTTGAATTGACATTTTCTAATTGTTTCGTCTGTTTCATCTTTTGCACATGATTGCAGAGCACAAATCTCAAAAGAGATTTCACATCTGTTTTCTGTTCTTTCACTAGTCTCGGCCACACAGAGATCACATCACAACAATCCCTGACCCAAAATGTACATTGGGGATGTTGCTGTTTTACTTGTAAAGTTTTACGTGAGCTACCCTTCAGGCACCCAGGTTGCTTGCAGCTAGATGTGTAACAGGCCGTTTGGTGGGCATGCCTGAGTTTTAATCACTTCGAATCACAAGGACACACGGATGCTTCTGGGATAACAGAAGCTGCTGACACCTACATGCCTCTCCCTCTTTCTCTCTCAATATCTCAAGATGCAAGTTTCACTTTCTTAAATTCTTCAACTGGGGCATTTACTGGGTTGTCTCTATATTTCAATGTCATGTTACTGCTTACACTGTTGAAGTTACTCCTTCAACATGTGTTTATGAAAATATTTCCATATGGAAATATTTTCATAAACAGGTTGGCCACCCTACCAATAATTCGGTTTAGCTGCCATACCTTAAACCATTGTCATATGAGTTCTAGGCAGGGAAAAAATCCAGATGTTCCAGAAAGCACTTGGGGATCTCCTTCATAATTGACATTGGAAAGAGAGTCTCCAGGTTTTAACTTAAAGTACTGCTTTGTATAGTTGCTCCTTTACTACAAAACTGTTCTAGCAAAATATTTTCCATAAAAGACTTTACAGTAAAAAGAAATAAATGAACAACACTAAATGAATTATTGTATCTATATCCCTGGAAAGCAAGCATTTCTAAAAACATAGAGGCTACACTTAGACACATACTGTGTGATTATTTTGACTGCTGTTATTCATCAAACAGTACCAATAAAGACAACTCAGCCAAAAAACAGTCTTAAAGCAAAACAAAACAAAACAATACCAACAAAATTTGTTGCTTCATATGTTGTTCTACAAAGTTTTGCTTAACCCCCATGGGTCGCTTAGATGGAGACTTCAGAGATTGTCCAAATTAAGGAATTCAGAATCAGAGCTGGGTGTGGAAATGCATGTTCTGTCACAATTAATTATAATTTTATGAAATTTTAAAACACTTAACTTTTTTCTTGCCTCTCAGTTCATTTCTCACATGGATCCTTGGCTATCTGACCGTAAACTGTCTTAACTGATTAGATCACTCCCATATTACAGATGTATGGTTTGTACTCCTTTTCTCAATTCTTATTTGCCTTACAATAGACATTTTTAAGACACTATTTTTCTGAAATTTTCCTCTCAATAGTTACTAAGATCTTCAGATTACAAATCCAACCTTCTTTTTATAATTTCTGCAGCTGCCTTTCCATTACAATATTTACAAAAGGCAGTATATCTAATTTTCTTGGTGGACATATACACGTCATGCATATTTAACACAGGCACACATGTACTAAATGATTTTATGATTATGGCAAAATTTTCTGAAATGATTTTATAAATATGTATTTGATAAAATGTTTAATGTAAGTCACTCAAACTTTCTAATTCTTTAGATGACAATGAAAAATTCAATATACAAATTATTTCAATCCCAGGTGCCATATCCATGCTGCTTCTGGCTTCGCTTTACACATTTTAGCTAATTATGTAATAAGCATTTTAACTTCATTGATTTCACATGGATGTACAATACACATGTTATAGTGCATGTACAGCACTAACTGGTGAAATTTCAAAGAGCATTTCTGCACTCTAACTGTCCATTTGAAATTTTAGATGGATAGTGTCACTCGTCCTGTTCCACACTCTATTGCTGCCACCCTGTGGAGCAGTCAATGAACTAGCACTAAAATTCCTGGGACCTAACCCACGGAGTAACTGCAGTCAGCTCATTCTGTTTTTCCCTTCTTCAAATACACTGTTCTTGCTTAGCTAAACTTTTGTGCAAAGAGAAAAATTAAGTCATTCTTTGAAACGTGCACAATTTAAAAATTAAGGAAAATACTCTCCCAGATGTATCTTTTTAGAGATTTTTTCTTAGTATATCTGCATGGTCTTACATAAAAACAGAGATATATGTTTGCTTCTGTGAGGGTGAAATATGAGATGTATACAGTGAGAGATAGCCTTGAGAAATATTTTTCATATTGTCTTTAAAAACCATGTCTTAACAGAAATAACAGGCAAAGGTTGTATTGAATAAATACTGGACTGGGTTAAAACAGTTCCAAGATTGCACTGTATCTACATAGTGGAAGCAAACATTTATTAAATGAAAAAAAAAGTGAATATCTAAATGAGCGGGTCTCAGCTTCTTACCAGAGGGATCTAAGACAAACTTTGTTACCATGCAACATATGAATCAGTTGACTGTAATACAGCAGAGCCAAAACCAGGATGACAGTCATCTTGCATTTTGTAACTGGGGTAGCTTCATTATACTTACATAATTGTAAATTCTTAATCTTCTTATTGTATGTTGCACAGATTGCTCAATAAAGTTGAACAAAATTTTCAGGCAAAAAAAGTATACTTAATATACTTACACCATTTATGTACTATATTATTCCTAGAAGGTGAAAAAATTCTCATAATTGTTGACTCCTACTTAGTTATATAAGCATATAATGTATAAAAACAATAATATAAAAGCAATAATATCACTGAGGGCATATTTAATAAATGTAAAATAATTTAAAAACAATTATTAGTTGCAAATTTATCTCCTATTACCTTCAGTTATTTAAAATTTCAAAAACCATTTTTTTCTCTGAACAGAATATTACAATTCCAACAATTCAGAGTTGTTATGTCAAGCCTGGCCTACTTGATCAGAAAAAACTTTAATTCAGAGCAAATGGGGTCATTCAAATTTTTTAATTCATTTTTTCCTTAAATAAAACACTGACATAACTTTATCCTACAGCTCTGGACTTTGGCTAATCTGTTTTTTATTTTTTGTTTTGTTTGTTGACTGAAGTACTTGTCTTCAATTAAGATTTTTCCAAAGCTACAGGGTCAACTGATTTTAAAGAGCCATAGGAATTTGTTTCCCAGCACTACACAGTTACTGGAAACTGTCACTTCAACAATTATCAGTTACCCAGAGTTCAAGTTTAATTTACAATAGGCAGATCTCCAAGGAATAATGGAAATGAGACTATGAAGAAAGGAAGCCAATAAAACTAAAATAAAAACTTCAGTTATCGAAACACGCTACAAAAATTATGTCAGAAGTGGGTTTTATTAATTTACTGTGTACTAAAATGTTTGGCATTAAGCCTATAAAAATATTAGATTGGACTGAATATTTTAGGAGAAAATCCTGCACTGGTTTCCATAATTCACAAGTGCACCAGAATCCAAGTGTTTGAATAACCCACATCTCTAGGTTTAAAGCATTATGAAATAAATAAGTGTCCAAATGCATCTTTCACACTTAATTTATTAAAAAGCCCAATGATCTGAAAGGTATTTTCAGTCTGAAAAGTTTTGATGACTTAGTTTAATCCATCTTGGCCTCTTATGGCTCTAAGCAGTATGTCTAGAGGTAAAGCTTTACTGTCTGCCTGAAAAGAAGGCTCCTGGGTGGGCAGATGACTGGTAGAGTCACAATGTTGCCAGTAAGAGAGAGAGAGGCAGACAGACAGACAGACAGACAGACAGACAGACAGATGACCAGTGAGGTACATTCCACAGGGGGTTATGAAACTTGGACTGCCAATCATTTAAATTCTTGACTCTGCCTTGTAGAGAATCTGTAGGACAGTCAACAAGTTACTTAACTTCTCAAATTTTGGTTTTATTATTTTCAAAACAGGGATGAAGATGATGGTAATAAAAATACTTTTTATCTTATGATTATTCCAGTTGTAAGTAAAATGATACATGAAGAGCTGTAAATGTAAGCTCAATAAATATTAGTGATGGTAATGATGAAGTGATGACAACATCCCACAGCGATGGTGAAGATGATGACTTCGTCTTCTGTAGTCAAAACATCAGAACTCACTGAGGACACATGTCCACTAGCGGCCCATTAGCCTTTCACACCTCAAAAAGAACTCAAAATAACACCTTTCTAGAGAAACATATTCAGCTCACTTTTTTATACTTAGCAATAAACTTTGAAGGAAAGGAAC